ATTTCAGATATCTATTTAGAAATTTTTACCAAACTCAAACCGTACAAGATCATCAAGTTTAACTCAAAACTCACTCCATTTGGAAGGAAACACAGCCACCCAGTTAGATAGCCCATATCCATCTCAATCTGCAAACATGTAGTGGATTTTTTTTTTTCAAAAAAAAAGGTCACACCCTCATGTGCAGCTATGTTGTTATCCTTATAAGAGGTTATGTTTGTACTGAGTAGAGCACTGTTAGTCAGATGTGTACGCCCAGGGTATTGTACAACCCATGCTTGAATCTTAGTTATAGTATCAGACCTACTCTCTCTGATCTCTGATACCTGTGAAGCTCATAACAAAGTGCAATTTACACATCCACCTCCTCTTTCTGATCATTTCATTAATTGCTGTCCTTTCAAGCCAATTGTTCTACATCCCATTCACATGTACATTGCAGGTTGAATTTTTTCTTGTCATCAAATACCATCTACTTCATTCCTTGATTAGAAGTGAGACCGTCTATATTGGATAGTGCAATCAAAATGTGGGGATCAAGGAAACTAATATTAGCTGAGGTATTTGTCCAATATTCCCACTTTACAAATGTGAGAGTGTGGTATTGTCCTGGCATTCTCTCACCAAGGTGTGTGATAAAAAGCAAGACTTTTCACATCTTTTTGCTGGGAAAGCATCAATTTCTCAAGGATTATTTTGATGCATACCCACACAATCTGAGCATGCAAAGTTTTTTTGTGTCACACATTTATGTGAGTAAAATTTGGTGGTGTGTTGATGCTTTTTTGTGTGTTGGTTCAGAGACAAATTATGCTGTCATTAAAGTGGGCAACACACTTGACCTACTTCATGTATTGACATATTATTGACAAATTCAAAACTCAGAGTCTTTTCCAAAGTCACATGTATGATTTGAGTGTGCAATTTGAATGAAATCAGAAATTTGGGATTTGATGAATTTGTAATGTATCAAGGAATTCACAATGGATATGTTGAGCCAGGTGCTAGGTACACAAAGGACATATTAAAAGATTAAAGCTTCAATAGAAGGGGTTTAGAGCTGTGTTGAAGTTAAGCCAAGGAATTTCATTGGAGTTTCTTACTCCTGACAGTGAAATTCAGCTATATAGTTGAACTGCATGTTTCTGCATTGCTATTTTAAAATTGTGAACATATTACTAATGATCTGTTTTCATGCCTATCAAGTATAGTAGCCAACTAAGTAGAAAGTCTTAAATAACTTGGACATCATGATGACATCAAATTGCCAAAATCAGCTAAGCTGCCAATGATCCCTGATGATGTTTGCTTAATCTGAAAGACAATCTAGGAATTTAAAAATTGTACAAAGATCTATCTCCTATGTCCTAAATCTCTTTGATTTTGTTGGAGTATCTTAATCTTCACTTTGAACCCTTTGAGAATTTTCTTCTAATTTAGTCCTGAAGAAAGAAATTAACAAGATTTTAGTGCACATATGAATCAAGGAAAAATCAAAATTTGATCTCCTACACTTCTTTGTACTGTCTCCAACATTGCATTGCAATACCCCCCCAAGCAGCCAGGGCTGCAACAAAAATTCCCACAGCTATAGAAATCTCTTCCACATTCTTGTTACAGCAAGGTGCATGGTTATTCTTTACCTCTTTCTCATTTTCTGGATAGAGTCTTGTGACCTGATGTCTGTCAAACTGTTGTATAGGTGGAGCACTCATTAATTGCCCCAATTTCCTATGATGGAGTTCAGCCTGTACAGGATTGTTGATGGAGGATGCCCCATAAGCCTTCTCTGATTGTTCCCTTATTTGTTTTGAAAATTCTATTTTCTCCTTCATTTGTTCATTAGAAACTGGAAGGATCACTCCATTTGGTTTGTAAGCTGTTTGGCTAGACAATTCACTGTTTTTGACTGGTTCAGGGAAATCTAGTATCTTTATTGAGGCACCTGATGATTGATGATCCATCAAGATATTGATTCCAATCAAGATCTGTCCAATTTTCATCCTGATGTGGCTTCTGAATGTATAAATGTGAGGTCCAATACTTAAGAGTATTAGTTGCTGAATGCTTTGATAGAGATAGAAAGATTGATCACCAAATAAATAAGGGAGTAAGATCTTACATTGTAGATATGGGACCCTCTTGATACCAGTAGGAAGTATATACATTATCACTCTTCGCAAAAACTGTTGAAATCTTTTCACATCTGGTTTGATGGTTTGAGATTAGTCACACGAGCTGATCTTTCAAGCATTCATCAATTGAATACATTAGATCCTACACTTTTGCTGAGTATGATAAAACATTTGAATTCCCTCTATTGGTTTATTTCAAACTTATCATCTGTGAAATATCAATTCATCAACTATTGATCTAGCATGTTTGACATGAGTTCAAGATATAGCTTTATGTATTTCTTTTGATCTTCAAACATTGGTAAAATATTATCATTTTGGAAAGGTTTCAAACTCCTTTGATTTCTGTATGTAGCAAAACTGTGTTTTTGTAGGGCAAACTACAGTAACAAAAGATGTAGTTGAGATAACTGGCAACAAATCGATTTGACCATTCTCCAAGTTTTTTCTAAGAAGTCGATCGAATGTGAAGCAACAAAGATTGAAATGCCAGCAACTTTCTTCAATTCAAAATGCCAGCATCTCAACCTCAAGCTACATCAAACCTATCGATTTCAAAATTAAAAGATAAACAAGCAGAATTAGCTGCGATCATTCAACTTAATGAAATGACGGGTTCAATGTCAGATCAAGTTACACTTTTATCAACTCAATTCTCATTAGGAGCTGATGGATTACAAGGTCAGTCTACCGATCGGTCATTTGATAACGTTTGATATACTTTTTGTGACTGAAACCAGCTTGAATTTGTTATAAAGCCATTGAATCAGTGGTACAGAAGTTTCAAAATGTATTCGTGTATGCTCAGAAAGCTATCGGTCAGTCAACAAATTCTTACACTTGCCTGCTTCTTATGATGTCTATAGACAATACTGATCTTGAAAACTTATAGCTGCGCGCACTGAAGCTGCGACAATGGCAGATACCACCATGACACAGGCAACATCTCAAGTCGCAAATCGTCGACGAGTAATTGAAGAAGATACCCCAATAGATATGTTAGTCAGGATTCCTTTACCTGAATCCAATTCGCCTGAGCCCTCGTAGTTATTTTGGTTAGACTTGTTCGTTCATTGACTTGCTCATCAGAGAGTTTGTGGTGGAAATTATCATGGACTGGTCTTCTGTCTCAAAGAGTTTTAGTTGTTGTAATATCTTAGCGTATTGGTTTTCTGTCTGGTGAATAGCTGAAGGATTGTTTAAGGTAAATCCATGTAATCAGAAGGTGCATTTGGTAATGTACAACTCTTGAGTCTTGACTGTGCCGATCCTTGCCACACGAAGAAGCAAAAAGGCTTGAGAGTATTTAGACGTGATTTTGGAGACGATGGGAAGAGAAGGTTTTGAAGAGATTACTTAATTAGGTGATGTGATAAAGTTGAGAATGGTTTGAATTGTGTGAGCTTGCTTGAAGTGGCTGGGAGGAGACCGATTTCTTTCCCCAGCCTAACCAGTGCTTACCACCCCTTGCCTCAAAAACCGATTCAAGATTTCACTCACTTCACGGGTCTCTCGTACACATCGATCATTCTCAATCCAACCTCAACATGTCTACCCTCGATCAGACACCTCCAACTTCAAACGCCCAGACTCAATCCTCATCAACTTTGCCTCCTAACCCCAGCCGTACCCTGAAATGGTATGTTACCATTGATCGCATACTTTCGCCCACGGGTGAGCCTATCGCAACGAGCGAGGAAGAGCGAGAAAGGTTTTATCTTGTGAGTCACTTTTTTCGTCTCACTTCATACCTACTTTCTGACTGATCGAACCATGATTTGCTTAGGACCTCTTTTGCCTCAAAGTCGATTCAGCTGTGTTAGCTACCAAGTTGAACGAAATCACAGTTGAAGACTTATTAAAAATCTATCAATCCAACCTATCAGACTTATTTCAGTATGCTGTCAAGTGTCTCAAACCTTCAGATGATGATGAAATGGATGAGATTCGATTACCCAACGTGATCACTGTTCGTCTTTTGTCTAATCAGTTCTGAAAGGTTTCATCCTTCTCATGATCTGATGGTTTGTCAGAATAGACTTTATCAATCATTTGTCGGGAGATCTTGAAAAAGAAAGATTTCCAAAACTTTAGTATTGATATCATCAATCTCTTTGCTGGGTCCTTGGACAACAGTGATCAATTATTTTCAGTTTAGTTTACTTCACTTTTTCACATCTAACTTGTTTGCCATCTAAGCTTACTGATTGATTAATTTTAATTGGATTGGATTATGGACGTTCAGGAATTAGTAGCAGGAATTGATCGTATTCTTGCAGACTTCAATCAAAGTCGTACGTCATTGAAGATTGATTTGGACGCTGTTTGTTTGATAGGACAAATGAAAATCTCGATCATGACTCTGACTGAAAATTCGTTATATCGTTTTACACATTTTTAGTCCTCATTCGGCATAAAACACTTCAACTGGCATTATCCATTGTTTCAGCCATTAATCAAGGATCAATAAATGCTTATTTTCTTCGTAGAGACCTTTTCAGCACCCTCGCTGGGGTATGTCGCGTACCTCTTTAATATGGCACCATAGTTTGGGAAACTGAGTGAATTTCACATTCGATTCATAGATTGTTTCTGATCCGAGGACCGTTTCAATGACATTCGATGGCGTACTACTACTAGGTTTACTGGCAAACTTCCGTCGTTTCGAGTCCAGGAATCCATACTTGGTTCGAATGGAGGATTATGTTGATGAAAAGGCGATGGAACGGATCATTACCTTGAGTGTTCTTGCATTGGGTGATGTACGCTCGTGCGTAGAATAAGAACTGCTTGTCTATCCTTTCGTGAAACCGTGTGGACCTTCAGAGTTACACATGTATTGACATTAACTCTTTTTTGTGCCCCTGACCTTCTTAATTCTCGGAATATGAAGTGGGTATATGGAAGCTCAGGAAGAGAAAACGACTTCATTACTTGGAAATGTCATGGGTGCATTAAGCTCAATCAAACCATCAAATCCCACCCCACCAAGCGAGCCATTTCGAACTCACCCACTCATGCCAACTTGTATACTTTTACCACTCTTTGATTTCTTGAGGGCCAACACGACTTTCTTGAATGTCTTAATGGCAGATGATGAGTTTTGGGCTGAATATTTATCATTTGCTAGTTACTTATTTTCTCATGCAAGTGCTAGCAAACGGTCAAGAGCTTATGCTAGACTTGTACTGGTCACCCTGATCGTTTTAATTGAGGAAGGTGGATTAGTCTTGAGTCAACGTGAAAGACAAGTGACTGTGAAATTCTGTAGACAGGTGAGTAGGATTGACATTCTTGGATTTTTACCTCAATCATATGTATTTCATGCGCTCAATGATTCTCACTGACGGTCAAGAAAGAAATCCACCAAAATGATTGATAGCGACAACCTCAATTACCTCTGATTTCAGATCAACCAAGACCACCGATTAGCTCAGTCTTAGATCTTACGATTCTTTTCTTACGACATAATCTTAGAAGAGAACTTGATATTGAAAGTTATTTAGATTCTTTAAGACTGGTTCATAGTGTTTTAGTTAATCTTCAAGCTCATCAAGTTAGATTAGATTATGATTGGACTGGATTATGGAGAGCTTTAGTTTGTGTGGGATCATTGGTTGGTGGACGTGGTGGTGAATTAAAACAATTCCCAAATATCGATAAAGTAGCTCAACAGGTTTGTCAACCTCTTCATTTTTTGTTTGATTAACATGATTGCTTGTTTTGATCAAACCCAAAAACTGACTAACGATTCTTTCATTGAGAAAATAGATTTTAGATGTCTTTTCATTTGCAGTGATTTGGTCTGAAACCCTTTTTATGGACACAGATGGAGTAGCAGGATTATACTATGAAATCTTAAGAGCATCACATACCATTCGACAATTACTTAAAATCGCAGGTCTTTGTCCAACTGAACCATTAACTAATACGATACCTACTATTGGAATCATTTCATCTAGCGCAGGCGCAGGTACGATTGAAGGTGGTAAAAATTTAGAAATGATTTTGAAAAGTTTTGAAAGTTTAATGAAAAGTAAAAGTAGATGGGAAGCTGAAGAAGTGATTGGATTGGTTAAGGAACATTTAGGGTCTATTGAATTTATTGATACGTGTTCTTTGGAAGCAAGGAGTAGAAGGTAATTGATTTTTCTTTTTTAGCTTCTTGTTTGTCTGAGGTGAACTGAGGGCGGATCCTTATCGTCTATAACAAAGGCTGACTGTTGATATTGTTGCTCACTGAATTAAAGGTTTACGGACCGAGAACATGAGCAAGTTCTGAAAGCCATTATGGATGTAGTGGTAGAAGATGTATTCAAGCTGATGGTTTAACGATCATTGTTTGGAGATGAAACAAATAACATGACTTCTCCAAAGTGGTTCACTCAACAGCTCATCTGATGATATCGATTGTTTTCACTTATCATATCAAATCAACCATCTCAAATTCGAAATGAAAATATAGGGATCAGGGTTAGCAGCAAGATTATCTACAAAAAAAGACTGTCCTTCACTGTTTAGGAAAGTTGGTTGATTTGGTGTATATTTCCCTTGTGTTAACCTTTTTATGATAGTTCTGTCCATCTTTTTCACTTGAAGTTAACTCAAATGCTTATTGGCAATCGAGAACGTCATTGCACCTTGTAACTTACTTTTCAATTTTTTTAATTCAATGAACATAATTCTCTTCAACATTTTGTTCATTGTTTCCTGGATTTATAAAATTTCGGTTTTTTTCTTCTTGTTATACTTGATCACTTTTTTTCGTGTCTTCTTTCTCAATTCGATACAGTAATTTGATTGAAAAAATGGTACATTTGAGTAAGTTGTTTGGGTTCATTTCTTAACAGCAGAAAAGTCTCTCTATGTTTGAAGACATTATCTATTTCCTCATAATTCAAAGTTTTGGGTGAGATGTCGTAAAATATGATACAAAAGATAAATAAACAATCCAAAGACAACTAGCCAAATGGAAAAACGCAAAAATACGATAAGTTCCATATACCTTGCCTTGAAATTAAAAAGAAATTGATTAAATCAATGCTTTTGAAGGTTCAATTGGTCGATACATACCTCTACGGTTTTGTTTTGCTTGGGATAAATTACCAGTCTAACAAACTTTGTCCAAAGGTCTTTGATTCTTCAATCCATAGCTTGATCGCAGTAAAGGTTTCGACTATATGGATGAAAGCAGACTGATTTGGTTTTGCTTTCAATCGTGTCTTTGAATTCATTTTGGTAAAGTTCCATATCAAGCCATCCAATTGCTGCTCTATCGCCAAAGCTGACAGTTGAAAAAGGTTTGAACATGAGATATTGTTCTCTTGTTCTCTATAAGATGATGATGCTCACCCTCCAAAGTAATAAGCCTCTTTGGTCTATTGAAAAAAAATGACGATTTTGTAGGTAGTGCATAAATTCAAAGGATCAACTCAGAAGCTGCTAGGCAAGAAGGTATATTGAAATGCTTAGAAGAATCTAAGACACTCACCTGAAATCGTACCCACATTTTATCGTGAGGTCCATTATCACCATTCCAGAATGAACTGTCAGGATGAAATTTTTCATAAAGTGCCTTTGCCTCCATTACGTCAGTCACAGGCATTAGGGTACCAAAGAGAGTGATCCTCCTTCGATTAGCAGCCCAATTGGAACCATTACGTTGAAGCTGACCAAGTTCATCCTTGATTGCGATGGTCGCTGAAAGTGATGAGGATTGATCGATGTTTTTATAAATGGGTGAGATCGGTAAGGCAAGTAGCAAGAGATCACCATTGTGATAAGGTGCAAAATACTCTTGCAAACCAATTGCTAGACCTCGTAAAGACTCTTGAGGATGATCTTCAGGATCTTTGAAAGAAGTGAAAATCAGTCATCCCGCTAGAAAGGCAGCACATGCTGTGATCATCAAAGGCTCACAAGTGCTCATCAGCGTCCCAATCCCTAATGACCCTGAAGGTGACTCGACCAAATTCGAAACCCATCAAGTTTCAGTTGAGGATCTCTGATCAATGCGAGTGTGTGAAGAACACTGAACTATATTGAATTAATTCCCGAGCATGTAGCGCTGAAGGTAATGCCCACCAATGAAGGCTTTCAGAACTTTATTCTATATGATATGATCTACTCCGCAGAAACCAAGAGTTAAGCTGATCACTCACCTGCATCACTCAATGTCTCTCTAGTCTTGCGAAAGACTTGCAGAGATGGTGATAATGAAGGGTAAATCTGATTAGAAGTTTGTCTGAGTAATTTTCTTGGTCGAGTTAAGTAATGATTTGAATTATGCCAAAAGGTAATCGTGAAGAGGGATATGAAAGACTTGAATAACATTTCGGATTGTTTCTAGTTTCTAGTGATATGTAAGGCAGCAGGCTGAGGTGATGAATGGAGTTGAATGTCAATTTGGAATGAGGATGTTGTGGATGGAAACTGGAGAATATTCTTGGTTTAAGCAAAGAAAAAGAAAGATTCAAAAGAACTCGAGTTGAGCGGGGAATGGATGTGGCTATGCACCGCTATTCATGTACACGATGGAAATGATCATATCAACAGACATCTGTCAATCCGTTAGCTTAACAAAGGGCTAAGTCAATCCGAGACTCCATGAACACGATCAGTGTAGTAGTACCACTGGCGCAATAGCTCGAGAATCCGATAGACCGCGATAGACCGCGGATCGATCGTGAACTTTTGAGTCTTGGTTGAGTGGGGTTGAGTGGTGCTACATAAGAGCACTCTGGCCTACTCTGCCTTTCCGCGTCCTGGTCGTCTTCAAGGTGAGATAGGGTGAGATACATGTAATGGGATTTTGCTTTCTTCGGCTGCTTTCAATATCTCACCACTCTGATGTTTGGTTTGAAGTCGGTACTCTAACGCAACATTTCTGTTATGAAACCTCAGAGAATTGCTTTCGTTTGTGTCTATTTGCATTCTTCATATGTGTCTTTATCCAATAAATTTCAACCCGCTGAGACCTTGCTCCCAAGAGCCTAACAGGCAGTAATTCATTTGGATCTTCAGTTCGTACGCTTTTTCAGAAGTAATTTTTCTAATTTTTCTCACTGAATCATTTCAGATGAATTCACAGATATATGCATGACTCATGAATTTCAAGGTGATGCAAAGCAGAAACTCCTGATCAATGGGCAAAGTGTATTGTCAGTTTCATTTATTGAACATGTGTATTCTCTAGGCATCTTGTATTATGTTCTGATTATTGCATTACTTCGGTGAAAGGTACATAATAGAGTATTAAAGTGGAAGCACACAGGAAGAATCGTAAGCTTGAGAAGGGGGTTCATATGCCCTAAATAAAGACAACAGTGTACCCAAAAACAATTGATAAATAGTGAACTAGGGCTGATGCAGTTGTGAGGGAGTTGAAACTGTTCGTGCTAACATGCGTATGATCCACATCTTTTAGTGATACATATTTGCATGAAACAAACCGAGAATTGAATCGAGGAAAATTACAGAGGTCTGTTGTGAAATTTGGAAACTGATTAGCAAACTGAAATTAACATAGATTGAATGATGTTTTTTGACCGAACCTGATGTTAGATTGTCTTCCCGTCGGCCGTCCACTAAAGTCAGCTGTACCATCAAGACTTGATATGATATTTCCTGTAGTATATAAAGTCCCCATTAGATTCGATAAGATTCAAGTAGTGGAAGCGAAAGAGATAAAGATAGGTATCTGAGTCTCACCGCATGCAACTCGAGAGTTATCTTGACCATGTATCACTACACTACGGCCTAGAATGCTTTCTCTCTCAGGTTGAAGCCGAAGAGAGGTATCTGTGTACTGTCTCGTGACGACTCTTTCATTTCCAGGTAGCAATCCATGTTTTCCTGCGAGATCCTGAGAAGCGAGAGTACAAAGTCAAGGTCTAGGATGAAGATAACGGATGATACTAGGAGACCTACGCCTTCTTGACAACGTCCCGGACTCTGAGGGTTGCATACTGCATTGTCGGGCAGTCCATTTGGTGAAAGGTGTCCCAGAGCAGCTGCACAGTCTCCATCACGTCCGATCGGATGGGCGTGAACTACGAATCGCGAACGTGAAAAAGATTAGAGACCAAGGTCAGACTTATCTTCCTGTGCCCAACTGTTAAAATACTTTGGAAAAGTTGAGACCTACTATGATATCTGTGCTGCATGATGGGCTGTACCGTATCTAAGCCGTTCACAGTGAGTCTCACACCAATTTGGTTGTTGCCGACCTCGTAGAATTCGAAATCGCCATTAACTCGTCCATTGGAATTTGGGGGGCTCACCACGCGGGCTCTAGCAACTGCGCCGCCGTTGGATGGTGACTGAGATTGTGGCGCTGGCGAGAATGGTGGAGGCTGAGGTGTTGCCGGAAATAATGACGGAAATTGAGGCGCTGTCAAAGCATAGTGAAGAAAGGTGAGGGTGAAGATGTAGGTTACGAAGATATGTGTAAATTTGAGCATATTCGTCTAACTTTGTGTCTTTTCTCTTCTTGTACGTAAGGTGTACTTCTTGTGAGTGATGTGATAATCAATAATTGTGAACTGATGTGATGATAAATAAATGTGAACTGATGCGAGGGATTATGTCAAAGAGGTCAAACCATGTGAGATAACTTTGGAGCCTGCCGGAGAGAAAACGGTAATCGCGAGTGATGGAGAATAACACAGGAAGCGCAAAGATTTTGGAAATAAAGACAAGGGGTGTTTATATGGTCATGATGGTGGCATCTGATGATCCGCACTGAGCCTTGCCGACCACATAAATGAGCAAGTCGCTTTCCAGATGTTTTAGACCAAGTTACACACTCCTGGATCAACAGTTTTGAACAACGTATTCGCCGTCCAATGCGAGCTGACGAGTATCTTCACAACTTAACATCTCCTTCTTAGGAAGTACCCAGGCCGGTGTGATACACATCTTAGCTCGTTCTCTGGCGCCAATAGTGATGCCGAAAATCCGGATCTTGACGCGATGACATCAGAAAATTACTCGAAGCTGCCATAGCGACTTCAAGCCGGTCATGAGATCAGTTTTGACTGATGTTGCGGCTGCCACGTTGGAATCAGCTGTTGTCAGTAGGACAACCCGCATGATCCTCGATTGAAGATAGCCATGATTTGTCTGCGTACTAGCCTCATGGGCAAGCCTTGAATTAAAAGAATAAGTTATCACGGTTCGGTCCTTTTGAGGTTTACATAATACCCATGTCGATGAAATGTTGGATATGTATATTGTCACAGCGGTACAACGCGGCCTACAATTTTCATTAAAGTGCACATATCTCCCGAGACCTTCGCTGGGCATGAAGGGATTTTTTTTCGGTTTTGATGACGGAGTCAGATGAAAACTTCTGCTTTCCTCAAAAAAACCATTCCCGCGATCTTTATTGTCATGAAGATGATGGAGTATGTATTCCACAACAATTCGAGAACTAATAGGTTTCGCTCAATTATACTGGTAGAAGAAAACAAAATTGAACTGATAGTGATGATTGAGTACAATTAAAATTAAGATAACAAATCCTAGACAAGGTGTATCAAGATTCCAGATGATCAAGTTCTAATCAATCATTCAGATTTGTGCGAGCATAAAACTTCGTGAGAAAATCTAAACCGGCCAAGATCTCTGGGCCTGGCTTACGGTGATCAAGCTTCACCAAAGACGGCGAGGGTAGGTCCGAAGGTGAGAGTAGTTGCTCATTGATTGTGTGGAGCTTGATGATTGGCTTAGCAAGTGGTATAGTTGGTTTGTTACTCGAGGATCTTGGAGTGATTGGAGTGGAAGAAAAACATTGACCACTTGAGTACTGAATCATGTACGATGATGCTGGCGTAGTTGGAAAAGAACCAGGAGTTGTTACCACATTTGATGTGGCGGAAGAAGAGGACACTGTAAGCATCGGGGTCTCGAGAGTCGAGGACACTCTGCTATATGGAGTGTGCTTGTTTCCTTTATGAGCTCTGACCGGCGTGGATGGTGACCAAGAAATTACATCGCATTCACTTTTTAGGAGGGGCGAAGGGAAGTCGGGCATAGCCAACTGCGGAAAATCAATGGCCTCTGGTGTACTCTGGTCTTCATTCTGAATTCGAGGTGCTGAAGCCTGAAAATAAGGGAGATCCAAGATGAATCATGTGTGAGTATTTCATTCACTTGGGCATGAAGACAGGATATATCGACAATAGTTGGCTGTGCATGGAGAGAAAGAAATGAGTTATGTGGATTATGTACTAACCAGATAGACATCATCGTCCCCACTACATTCGCTGAGTTCAGGCTCGTCCTTAACATCATCAAAGGTGTAGATGACTGTTTGACTGAAGTTCCGATTCACAGGGAACTGAGGTGGATCGCGAACAGGGACCTTGCTCTATGTGATGACAGTGTGTCAGACAAGGTGAGGATATAGGATCATATGGCAAAGGCTAGTCAATGAATGACATACCGATCTTTGACAAGCGTATCTATAAGATGTCGACGTGTTTGTAGAACGTGCTAAAGCTATCAAAAGTGGATCGCATTGATCCTGTGAAGGGCATGAGAAACAACAGAAATGAGTGTCTATGATGGATGATCAAAGGCCAGGATAAAATCCAATGATATGAACGCTTACAATTGTAGGTGCCACATAAGGGATCGGATGTGCCATTTCGTAAGCTTTGGCACGCTAAAGTCAAAACATCACCCTCAAGCGTCAGCATACTAGTGATGTAAATAAACGAAGGCCTCGAAGAGAATAACGCTCACTGCAAAATTTTTCCTTGTTATCCCTAAATCCTTGGGCTTTTCGGATAACTTTAGCGCTGATAGGAGTCTTACACGACGACATGGTTGAGGTGATCGAGAATTCATGACGGGTAATGGACAAAGGTAAGGGAATATAAATCTTGAATTGGTGGTTCGGCGGGCGAAGATAATTCAAGGATCGTTTCGAAAACTTGAAAGAAAAGTAAGAGTGAATGAGGTTTTGAATGTTGAGGCAAGTGCTTTGTATATCAAGGAATATCGATAGAATGATGATTAAAATCTGTTGCGAGGAGAAGAAGAGGGCGAGTATATATATCGAATCAGTGAGCCTATTCCCTGGACAAGTCATCCGACCAGCAATTACAAGGGTCTCTACCATCGGAGCTTAGCTTTAAGTTTTAAACAGGTACCAATTTCTATCTATGGTGTCCTGATTAAGTTTCTCGCCATCTTTTAGCTACAAGTTATGAATCAGGTCCCATAATCATCAGCTGAGTCGAAAGATGGCTGGAGGACGCTTAGAAATATTCGATAGTTTGTAGGAGACTGTAATAAATAAAGTGGGAAATCATCAAAAAAGTAAACATAGATTAGGCTAAGCACGTCCAGTCGGTTACCTGATATCTTGAATAAGGGGATCTGCCCTTCAATGTAGGCTTTGAACTCGCCACCTTATTTCGAGGATCCAAGCCAACAACAAGAGTATAGTCTAGGGCTCTGTCTCTCATAATGCCAGCTTATGGATACAGCCATCTTCTTAACTTCACCCCGATCTTCAAAGTCTTTAACGAATCACATGTGAATCCCTGTTTTCCGTACGGTTTCGAAGAGATCAGAATCACCTCAGTAAGTAAAGTCCACGGCCCGCCTTCAAGATTGATCGTTCAAGATAGGCACCGTTGACAACGGATCTGACAAAGAGGATAGAGCCTACATTGCTCTTTTTCTGTGCTCTTGGGTATATACTGCTGCACAAGCATTGTGTAGATAAGCTCAACTTGACAATGACCACCCTGTTAGTTTGGTTATCACGATTTTATTGTGCTGAGTCATATTGTGTGAGTGTATAGATTATATCTTTCAGATGTAACAAATATTGTAAAGAGTCCGTATGGAAAGAATCGAAAAAGCAAACAAATTAAGGATCAAAACAAAATACTCATGATGTATAAGACTGCCAGGAATATTGGACGACAAAATGTCAACTGATATACGAAATCCCTTCAATAATGACTAATCATTCAGATACTCTAAACATTGGACTGATACATACTCATGGGTGAGTCATCTCTTGGCCCGGTGCTGGATAACTGATTCAAACGGAATCAAGATCAAAAGCGAGTTATGAGCATCACGCTTCTTCAGTTCAGAATAAATTGTATGTGCTCAACTGGTGGTTCATTGTAGATGCTCTTCCATTAGGGTTTCCAATCGTGTCAGCCGTGCCATCCAATACCGAGGTGATATTACCTGAATTCATTGAATAAAATGAACATCAGCTTTGATCAAATTGATAATGGATTAAAATGAGGATCTACGGGGAAGGAAAAAAAGAGGAAACGTACCACAAGCAAGACGAACTCCATTTAAACCATGAATTACAACACTACGACCAAGGATACTTTCATTCTCAGGTTGAAACTTAATAAAAGCGTCTTCAAATTGCATTTGAACAATGTTGTGTCCAGCGGGTAATAGGCCATGTTTACCAGCTAAATCCTATTGATGAACGCTCCAAAAGTTAACTGTGTGTCATGAATGATATGGGAAGGGAGGACGAATGACTTACCCCTTCTTGACAGGTTTGTGGCATTTCATGATTACAAGCTGGTTTATCAGGAATCCCATTAGGAGACAGGTGACCAAGTGCAGACGAGCAGTTTCCGTCCGAGGAGATCGGGTGGGTGTGAACTGATATTGCAGAGGAGGAAAAAGATGAGCGCGGAAAGATTACCAATGCAAAAGTCTCGAATCAATCTTCTGGCGCTAAAACAAATTCAGAGTCAATCTACGTGGAAAAAGAGGAACGCACTATGATAAGCGTGATCCACTAGAGGCATAACAGTATCTAAGCCTGTCACGGTCAACGTCACGCCAACAGTATTTGCAGAACGCATGTTATAGAATTCAAAGATCCCAACAATTCCGTGTCCGGTCGAGTCCGGGCTAACGACGTGTGCTCTTGCAGCTGGCCCGTCGTTTGCTGGCACAGTTGCTTGTATTGGCGGCAATGGGAGATATGCGGGAAGCGCGGAAGGTATTGAGGGAGCGGCAGAAACGCTGCAAGCCAGGAGTAAGCTGAAAAAGACAAGCACGCTCTGATGGATATTTTTCTTGGACATCTGGTTGGACATTATTGCAGTTTGAATTCGTAAGCTTTTTGAATGAATGAAACAGATGTAGTTAATTGTAGAAAATGTGAAGGAATAAATAAAATCAGAGATAAAAAAAAATTCGGGCCTGCCGAGAAGGGAGTATATGAGGGATTTAAATAGAGCGAGCAGCAAATGAAATTATGTAAATGTTAAAGAGAGGGAAATCAAATTTCAAAAAGAGGAGCAAGGCTCCCAGGGAGGTTGTAATGGGTGAGGTATTTATGTGATCCCGGTGCAGATGTGAGAACCTGCTACTTCACGTTTCGTCAAGATGCTCAAGTTTTGATAATTAGCTTGAGCACAACAAGACCAATCGGTTAAGGCCTGTCAAGGCTCAGTGGACCGGAGAACTTTACGCTACTTTACGACCATGTTCACCGGATTGGGCTCAAATTGCCTCCGGTTAACTTGATCGCGACGAGGATACATGTCGAGTTGGGCTAGCGCCAAGGAGATCAGAGTCAGACTTTAAGTTTGGCGTCCGAGTACTGGGAGTACTTTAGGCATAAATCACTCAAGCGAACAACAACCGATTTGTATCAACCCTTTATATTAACCTGCGTTTTGAAAGCAAAATATGATCAGTCACACGCTTGAAGTAGTTGCATCAAAGCCACACCTTTTTGAACAGCTTCTCACTTGAGTTGTACGAATTATTTGTGACTCAAAATGTTTTACAGCTATGATCCAGCAAGGCATCGTGCGATCTTGATCGATGAACATTTGAAGGAACTGTAAGTCATGAGGCAAAGGCCTCCGTGGCCGCGCAGAGAGGGCTTGTGTTAAACTAAGGCAAAGAGTGATCATTTATAATGGTCCTAACTCAGAACATGGTCGCGCTTGAGCATAATTGGGAACGTTCCCTAGATAATTAAGGAACCTAGTTCCTACGCCCGAAAGGGGTAAATGAAATTCATCATTCAAGTTAAAGGTAAACCGTGTTCAGCGGCAAAACTTGACAAAACTCCCAATTAGTACTTTGAGGTTGGAGGTTTACGCGTCCTTTGAGTAAAATCTGTGGCTCACGTGTTCACCTCATCAACTATTGTCAAGCTCCCATCAAATCACCATCTTATTCCAGAACACTGTCGCGCTTGAGGATAACTAGGAACGTTCCTTAGATGATTAAGGAACCTGGTTCCTAAGCCCGAATTGGCAATTGAAATTGATAATACATAGATAATAAAATCCCGTTACGTCTCACTACATGTCCCACGTACAGGCAATATGCCCAATCGAGTCAAATGTCTCACAACATGTTATCTCCATAAATAACCTTGCACCATACCTCACAGGTCTTCTCAATAGCGCTCACATCACATTGTTCACAGTTTAACCTATTGAATATTACATTTGTAATCGCACTACTAAACCTCAAACAATCCGAACATGCGAATGACATATATATATGAAGCGTTATCACATTTCCCCTCCATGCTAGAATCACTTGACGGCCAAGACGTGTTCCGCTTTGTCACGATTGCAAGCCATTTCGTCAACATAAACCAAGAATCAATCAGAATTGACGAAGACAATGCGCCGTACGATTACCTCAACGCCGCCCTGGGCTCACCAGTAGTACCCGGCACCTGGGAGGTACTATGGACAGTTTTATATCCCTCACTTGCGTTATCATACGTCGAGCCTAAGCGCCTAGTTCGGGATCAAGGACTCGGCGAGGACGGCGGCGCGCATCTTGCCATTGCAGAACGTATATTTTGGCCACCCTACAAAGATGAATGTCCCAATGAAGAGTGCAGGGAATACGGCAGGGTCCATGGACAGCGTACGTTAGAAAAGCGGAAAGCTCTGACTGGATACCTTTACGGGCTTGACGGAGTCAAGTCAGTCCGTCACCATACAACCTATTGCCGACGTAAGGTCATCTGCTGATATCTTCATTTTACTTTGGCATCATTAATCATTTTTATGTTTATTATCAGACTGCAAGACCAGCTATAGGGCGTCCTACTTTTCAAACAAGGATCAACGAACATACTACTTAGACACGGTCAGAAACGACGCAGACTGCATACAAGTTAATATGCATTACTTCATGACCATTCCATTACTAGAATTTTTCAACCACGCACAATCTCTAGCCCAGTAAGTACCAAGTCGTATAACCATATTTACAAATCATGTCACGAAACAACTAAGCTAACTTTGTATCTCCACAACCAAGTGTATCCATATACAACTTGGTGACCATATACAACAGTTCTCACAAGCTGAACGAGTTGGCACCAAATCACTTCGTCGGGGAGATCTTCAAGCCCACACTCTCCGACCACTGTTGCACTACGGCGTTGGATTTGTACCGATTACTACGGCAATTCAACATCCGCAATTGCCAAATGAGTGTATCTAATTCGGGCGGATCTCGACATCGGTTTCGTGATTCGAAACTGACTGTGTTGACGTGGATGGAGCTTGAAGGCAGTCCGTATATAGATCACATGTGTTTGGAATGCACTGAGATCTTCGAGGACCCCCAGGTACCAGGAGGCGGGTTAGGTGAGCACCGTCTTCTACTTATTGGCCACAAGGTAACCATATACTTACAAAGTTATTACGTCCAGCTCTTCGCGCCATCGCGATGGACGGTATTACGATTGGCCATCCACGATGCAGTGCTACAAAAGAGCAACTTGCCTCGATAAACCCCTCGATTTCTAACCCACCGCCGTGCACAGTCATGCTTGAAACACCGAAAGATCGATATTGTCCAATTCATAGCCCAATACTTGGAAAGCTGTGTCATGCACAGCCTTGTACGCGTGATGCAATTGGCAACACCAAGGCGTGCGACCTAACCGATCACCAAGAAGCTATTCAAATAAGACACGAGAAGACTCATCGATCTCGTGCCGCGCTCGCTTTCAACCAGCGTACCGGTGCAAAATTACCTGAGGATCCAACGGCGGCACTCAACACGGATACAGACGTATTCAACCTGGATGCTCTGATAGAGGGCAATGAGACAGATTGGACCCACGAAGCCGGTCGAGAGGGTGAAGATACAATTCGCGCGTCCAACATCACCAAAAAGCCGACATGCTCCAACGCCAAGACACACAACGACCTTCTTTTTGTTGCCACTTGCGGTATAACCCTGGCTAGAGATACGATGTATCGCGCCAAATCTGTAATTTTGGTCAGGGTGAGTTCACAGTTATTACCATCATTGCATCGCTGGTATAATATTAATGCAGGTCACACCTTTCAGGAAATTATGGAAAGGAAGTTCCCAGTTCTACCACCCATACAATTCTTCGATAACTCATGTACTTTTGACAAATCACTGCGCAAGGATATACCGGCGATGGAACGCCTGAAGGGGACAATAAGACCTGTAGATCCATTCCACATGCGCACCCACTCTGAGAAAGACGCTCAGTGCCGGAAATACAATGATCCCAAGCGCTGGCCATTCCTCAAGAAACCCGACGGTTCATGGCGATTCAACGGTTCTGCGGCGGAAATCACCAACGCTTGGTACGGCGGATTCCTTTCCATATGCCGCGGTATGCATGAGATAAATTACCGCTTCTTCTTGGAGGAAATGATACGTGTGCGCAATGACTCTCTACTTGCCAAGCTTGCACGCAAAACCAACTTTTGCTGCAATGTACCTTCCCATTTAGCCCAACAAAGTGCGTTTCCACTTCCTTTATGATGTATATACACAATTGTTGTTCTTCTTATTGCTATATTGTAATATAGCAATCAGCATTCAATTACAAAAAAGAAACAATTGCTCTTGAGACCAAGTACAAACGAGTTGCAAACAAGCAAAAGTAGACAAATTATGAAGGTGAAAAAAGTAGCCATAAACTTTACGTAAGGAGATCCTGGTAAGGGTTGCTTAAATCCATACCGGAGTCAAGTATGAAACAACTGACTATAGCTGTATATTACCGAGATGTTGGCATATTACATTGCATCGGTGTTGCTCTTCAAAATGAATAAACGCGTTACCAACATTATCCACCATATCTGGATTATTACATCACGAAGAAACCTATGTGTTCAAACGCTAAAACACACAATGATCTTCTATTCGTCGCAACTTGTGGTATAACCCTAGCGAGAGAGACCATGTATCGCGCAGAGTCCGTTATTTTGGTCAGGGTGAGTTAACCAGTATTATTACCATTTGTGCGCTGCGTTTAGTTGACATAAATGGTCTGTAGGAAATTATGGAAAGGAAATTTCCTGTACTCCCTCCCATTCAATTTTTCGACAATTCATGTACTACAAATCTCTCCGCAAGGATCCAGCAGCAATGGAAAGACTGAAGGGGACCATCAGGCCAGTTGATCCGTTCCACATGCGCACACACTCTGAGAAAGATGCTCAGTGTCGTAAGTTCAACGATCCAAAGCGCTGGCCGTTTCTCAAGAGACCGGACGGGAGCTGGCGATTCAATGGATCTGCAGCCGAAATCACCAACACTTGGTATGGTGGCTTTCTTTCCATTTGCCGCGGCATGCATGAAATAAATTACCAGTTTTTTTTGGAGGAGATGATTCGAGTGTGCAATGATTCCCTACTCACAAAGTTGATTTGTAAAACCAATTTTTGCTGCAATGTCCCTTCTCATTTGACGCAACCAAGTGCTTATCCATTGACTTTCTAATGTATATAATCGTAAAGAAGTTGTAACATATAATAATATCATAATCCTTTAATGCATTTATTATCTTCTAAATGAAATCAAATAACGTAATTATATATGAGACCTGAAACCACAGTAACATACAATACAATATGAAGAAAGATGAGAGAAAACATGTGAAACAAAGTACGAAATGCTGATTAGAAGATGGCAACTACAGAGGAATGTTACCGAGGTGTTGGCATACTATATTGCACCTATGTTGCTCTTCAAAATGATTAAACACGTCTTTAATCTGATCAACCACCTCAGCATTGTCGCGGCTGTGATGTGGAGCGCTGCTATTAAGTGGCAGAACATGCAAGGTCAGTCTTATAAATATGGCTACGTTGTCTCCCAAATACGATTTCACTTACTTCTTGTCAAAACATACAATGTTAGTTAATCTTCCATGTTCGTCGCAATCAAGGTTTGAGATCAACAATCGGCCGTCACTCAAGTCGTAAGTATAGTGGACAAAGGCATAAATCAAGTCGGTCCAAGTATAAGGCTCCATTGGCTTGTTGTCAAACCGAGTCTCATTGACAAACCGATGACTTTTACCATCATTGATGCCCTCGCATATCATCCACCGAGGTTCGCTGTGATACTCGGAACCAGAAGACTGTATGATATGCAAAGGCTGAAGCTTCATTAAGCAGGAAGTCAATTTCGCTATCTGATAAAAGTAAGCAGAGAAAAGCTAACCACCAAAGAAGCAGAATCCGAATACCATTGTTGGTGCACCAGGTTTATAGCACCGTAAGCATTTCTTATCTTGATGTAAAGGGCATGTCGGAATGACCGGAGCGCCATGGCGGCAAACCTATTGCTTTGAGCACACTCAAAGCAATGACCACGTCCTTGAGAGTCCATATCTTTCCAAGTAACGTGGTATTTGAGAAAATACCACCCCGACACCTCACGATGATTGAGGTAAATGTAACGAATAGTCCAATGGTCACTGTCTAAATCAAAGGTGGGCTTTTGAAAGCATCTGTATCCTACACGGTCTTCCAAGACCGTGATATCCTCGTATTGATCGTAAAATAGTGCTGTTTCTCTCAACGGCTTGGCCTTCAAACGGTAAAGACATCCCTCCTCTTTTCGACTCAAGTCTTCAATTCGTTCATAGTATGGAACTATTTCCGCATTGGAACTCCGAGTGCTATCACCCTCTTCGTCATGAGTGTGACGAAGGACTTGTAGGATGAGAACAAAAAGGTTATCGAATTTCATAAACATCTTGATATAATATGAAATGAAGCAGTACATACCTGATGATCCCGTCATGGTAAAACTCTTCATACTATTATCAACATCATCAATCTCATGTGGGTCTTATGCATCAAAGTTAAACAACATGGAGAAACGAAATTAACATCAACTTCTTATAACTTGGAAGATTTGTTATGAACCAACACACACCTGACGATGAAATCAAAATAATGCTATTACCATTCAACATTGATTCGTCACTGCTTGGGTCCAAGTCGCTACCGGTGAGATCTATCAGCTCAATATTATTGACACCACCGACACCTGACGGGAATGAACTATTTGGAACTCGGGATTTTGACATGATTGAGAAATACTTTGGACGAGTACTGCGATGATCAGTGGTTCAATATTATTGATTAGAAATAAATGGCAATGACTGTTATCGGTATGTTAAAAAAGGCATATATATACGTATCAATAGTGGCGTATCAATAGTGACGTCACAGGTCTTTGGGCATATGCTCACGAAAGGCTCGTGGTTGAAACAATAGGTAGGTAATTATTATATAGTATAAAATATAGCACATACCTTATATGCACGGCTTATAGCGCGATCGATGCCGTTCACCTCCCTCTCTGTAAAATGCTATGGATATTCGCGGGACGATCTAATTGAGTGATTACCTATATCAGAATAAATAATATAGTAATAACAATGGTGAAATATTTATTTTCATTTTGTTGTTCTCATATGGAAAAATAATGACAGGGGAGAAAGAAACAATGTAAACAAACACGCGGATACAATTATTGATTGCGGTCAAACAAACTGATTTCTTTTCATAAAACGAGTGGGGTGAGATTGAACTCTCTGCATATCTTGTTACATGCATGGGCACCTCTGAAATCAAAAAAGGGAGTGTCCAATCGATCGCTATTTTCCAAGTAATAAGATCTGCAATATAATACGATTTAAGCACTCGTATTGGAAAGGAAATGAGGGTAATATTAATTTTTAATATGACTTACCCTTTATTAAAGCATATTACATTCGAGAGGCTTCCCCATATGTCACAGTCAAGTTGGCCAATCAGAGTTTCACATCTACTTTCTTCGTACGCATAATGGACAAATGCTAACAGCAACTTATTCCAATGGTCAGATGCTGGGCGGGTGTCCCTGAAACACAACGGGGATAAGTATCGAGCACTAGTAGAGTCTCGTGCACTCTCACATAACATCCATCTTGGCAAATCAGAATCAAGATTGCCTATGGTTTGCATCAACGAGACTCGCGGAACCTATTTAGAAGACGTCTTTCAGGATGTCGCGGTAGAAATAATTCAACGGTCAAGAAATCATCCAAGAACTTACGTGTAAGGCCGCCGCGCGGATAAACCATTCGCCAAACTTGACTGCCAAGTAACTGTTGGGATTACTTTCACCTTTCCACAAACATAGGAGACGTGTTTTGAATCTTTTGAGCATTTGAGAAACATAAACATGGCCATTTGCTAGTTCAATAGCGCTATCTCTCCCGGAAGTCGCAGTGGCGGCCCATATATAATGGAAACGGGCTATGCCTTGATGCGGCATGTCGACCCCATCTCCCCGCATTTCTCTAAGTTGCCATTCATTTGAATCTCTACTGAGAGATATATCAACAGTGCGTCCTAATTGATAAACAGCAATGGTCTCTGACAGGCCTAACGTGTTTTCTGGCTCGTATCTTGGTTTGGTGTCATCGCCGTAGTAGCCTCTGAAGTGGTAAAGGAAGGCAGCTCGTCTGGAAGGATAGTCCGGTCGACAGGCCGAACTATGAACTGGAATGGTAACACATAGGATGCTGCCAGACTCTGGCGCCTCTACCATACGAGATACAATCAAAAGGTTGTAATTGGTCAACATGTAAAATTAAAATGTACAATCGATGGTTGTTTGCAGAATAAGTCCAACATACCCTCTGTCTGGTTTCTGATAGCGCGGACAGCTCTGACCTTGTAGGTCTTTCGGCCTAAAGAGGCCAGGTTTTTCACCTCGTCCAATTGATCGGTGACTGAAGGCGAAGCGTTGTCGGATTTGATGATAGGTTTGGTCAAAGATTCTTCGTCATATCTTTCACCTGTTTCTAAGGCACCAACTATCGCACCAGCACAAGCAGGTGATTCTATCTTGGGAATGAGAGTCAACTGATGCTCAGCATCAGCAGGCGATGCGCGACCAGAATTTCTTTGGATAATAGGTTTGGTGTCATCCGGCTCATTACGAGACGGCATAATGACAATCAATCAATCAAAGTGATAAAGAGCTAATGACGCCTCAATAATTGTGATTACTTGAAATAAATATGTTATATTGAGAAAAAAATTAATGCAATGGGAATCAAGTCTTCATCATGCAGCTCGGCTTATATGAAGACTTGTATATATGAACCGAGCTTGCCAGTCTCAATGTCTCGCCTCGCTAGCCTGCAATGGATTCTACGTCGATCACGTGGATTTGATAACAACATAACAAGGGGAGTGGAATATTTCATTGATAACGCAATATCGTGTATATTTATCGCGACAAAGTATGAGGCCACAGTTAAACTACATAGTCATAATTGCGCCATAGAGAAGAACATGACCTGGAGCGAGTTGAACCTCCCGATCGAGCCGATCAAACTGATTGGCTGAAATCACAAGTCACACGAGGCCTTTTGCGACCGCGTGGAAGTTCCGTATCAATTGTCCTATAAGATATAATGTACAATTTATAAGCGATAAGATATAAGTGGTAAGTGAATGTTACCGCTTAGTTTTCATATAGACAACAATTCTAGTGGATACTGACACCATTTCCATTTTGGGTATTACATTCACCACATTGATGTCCATTGGACCTCCTTTGAAAAGCCTGACATTTCATACATATGATCAACTTCTTCCCTTAATTGTAAAGTGTGAGTAAGAGGCCCTCATATTACTCACAGGAACTCGGCTAACTCTTCTTCGGAAATACCAATGTTGTACTCATAGTCTTCGTTGGCAATGACTTGCGTAGCAGTATTTGGTTGAGCAATGGCACTACGGATAAGATAATCTATAATGTGTCAGCTCATATTATACAACAATTGATTATGGAAGGAGGCCTTACACTGTTTCAAGGTCGTCTTCAATCACCGCTGGTACAAGCGTGTTATCCCCGATGAAAGCTTGCCTGGTTTCCATATAGGTAAACGTTAATGTTTCATTTTAAATAAACAGGTCATCAACTTACCCGACTTCTACATCAATCCCATTTTCAACCACAGCAATTTCAACCTCTTCCTGAACCTCGATGTTTGGGACGCCTAAGTTTTGAGGGCTGTACAAATATAAATGAGTTTGAGTTACCAATATAGAGGATATGACGGTTAAAACAATGTTACTAACCCGTTATCTCCAGTGGTTCCATTATCCTGAACCTCTTCAACAACAGCCGGAGCAGGAGCAGGAGCAGGAACAGGAACAGGAACAGGAACAGGAACAGGAGTGGTTGGCCACAATACGTTGATACTATAGAGCTTTCGGACACCCGCAAGGAGACGCCAATCCTTGTAAGGACGCGCAGTGCGGGCTAGTTTAGCTCGCCTGGAGGGGCAGACGTTCTGCATATGGCCAAATCCCCCGCACCAGTAGCACATGTCTTGTCCTTGCTTAACTTCAGCAACCGCGGTATCAGGAAGCGCAATGGGATTAATTTCGGATTGACGACAATCTGGGATGTCCATAATAATTCAACACTCTAGATATTGTAGACAGTGAGTAAGTGAAGGAATGGATGATGTGTTTGAGAGGTAGGTTGAGAAAGTTGATTCTACTCGAGTTGTTTTATATACGTGATCCACCTGAGACTCATATGTAACATGGCGTGTTAAGATTAAGAAAGGAATCGGATCATATTTTTTTTGTTTGGCGTGATTGATGTTGTCTAGATGATAGGTGATCATACGAACCTTTCCCCGTAAACATCATATTTAACGGAGACAGAGAAAGATATAATATGCGCCCTCCCACCTAATTAGATTGTGAAACAAAGGAATCGTATGGATGATTCCTATCCGGACTATCCAAACCTGAGCATCATGGAATGAATCATAACGATGCAATAACAACGTTTGAGTTATAAGCGCGTGTGATATGCATCTACAATGAGTTGTTGATGTATACATCAACAACTCTTGTATGCTTAACTTTATGCTGAGTCACTGATGCCGGCATATTTATTTGCTTCTTTTGGTGATATCCATTACGAATATTCGATCAACATATATAAGTTTAAAATACTTATACGTATTTATAAGCATGACCTCCATAAGTTTGGCATCATTGAAGCGGGGTTGTGAAAGAATCTGGCCATATCACAACCAATGATATGATAATAATTTATCGTCAGTTGGTATGCATCATACTTTACGAAAAGTTTGACCCAATCGCAATGATCATCTCCTAATCAGAAGGTTTGACAAAACCTTCTTTTACCACTTATTATTGAGATACATATAATATGATAAATAACCGATGATATAAATAAGTAACAAACATACATCCTTGACAAACAAACAAACAAAACGCGTACGCGTGAGTAAGTCAGCGATCACATACCACTCAATAGATATATGTGATCGCTGACTTCAAGGCGCGTAGACAATGTGTATAATCATGTGCTTTAATTGATGTGCCTTCCATATACCATGTATAACGTATACATGGTATATATCCCTTCTATCACATCTGTTAGTTATGATTTCGTTCATACACAAAAAGGTAAAGTTTGATTTAAGTTTGTATCTATATATATGTAGACTTATGTAGACACATTGTTTGGTCAACTCAATGTAGAAAAGTAAATGTAATAATATCAATACTTACATGGCAAGGTTTAACTCTTCCAGAAGGTTTAACACATCCTTCCAGAGGTCCAAACAACTTGGCCATCCAACAGAATTGATTTTCGCGTCGGACTTGACCTGTTAGATTAAACAACGACAAACAATTACGGTCTGCTTACATTACGACAGGGGAAAAGACTAAATTAGATTATTATATATATGATACAGTTATAATACAACTAATTAATATTATAACATGAATGTAAAGTATTTGACGATGAGGAATAAGAAATATTGTTCGATAACTGAGAGAGAAATGTGAAAAATATATATAACACATATATCAAAATGAAATTGAGGAATACATGTTATTGGTTAAATGGGAAAATGCAGCGAGAATAGATGGTACTACATCGGAACTCTTGTGTAATTAAATGGGAAAATGCAGCGAGAATAGATGGTACTACATCGGAACTCTTGTGTAATTCACCTGGCGGACTCCAATTCGCTAGCAAATGTTTTGCGCGCAGCATCGAAAGTGGCTTCAACCTGGTCTCGTTCACATTGCTCATACCAATCAGCCCATCGGTCCTTGGAGACCTTGTTAATCCAACGTATGTATCTAAACATAGCAGTACGGTCCCACTTATATGCGGGGGCAAAGAAAGAATCCCAAACTTCCTTCTTACCAGTTTGAGATGTATGCGCCAAGTGCCACTGGGTCATTGTTTTCATGGGCATATCGGACGGTGGCCACTGTTTAAAAATTAAACCAAGTCAAAAATTAGTCATACAATAACGCAAAAATGGTGCTCACTAGGCCAGTTTTCTTGGACCTCCTCTTCGGATTTGGTGCCTCATCTTCCGTTGGTGCGGGGAGCGGCAAAGGCGAAGAGTCCGGTGTAATATCTTCATTATTACCTGCAGGTGGTGGTACGTACGTATTGACTCCTTCGTGTCTGTTCAAGTCGCTTATTGATGTTGATCTAATATTGTTTTGACTCGTGTGCGGTTCATCCCCATCAACATCAGGTAGGTCTGACATTGAATCCAAAAAATTATTTGCTTGTCGAGTCGGTAGGATGATTGAAGGTGGTTCGGGGCTGGTTATGTCGTTGAGTATATTGTGCGAGAATATTGGACACCTTGACGCAATCTTGGGAGGTGTGTCTTCTTTGTCTTCAATTACAACAGTCGGGGGTGTTTGTCGTCTTCCTCTTCTAGATTGATATCTGGAAGTTTGTCCATCGCCTGGACTTTCGTTGCGGCCTAAATATTTGATTTCCGGTGATGGTGAAGACTCTGTAGTATTGTACGTTGTTGATGACCCTTGAGAATTGGATCTGAATGCAAGACTGGGACTGTGAGGAACTCGATTTGAAGTCGGTGTAGCTCTCAGAGAATCGACGACCGATTTTAAACTGGTTCTGACTGCCGGAACAAGGCATACTTGTAGTTCTGCCATTCCATGGCACAACTTGGGTTCGACATTCGTCAAGCATACCAGAGCCTCCCGGAGGGGGGTCGTCATTGGGATGGAAGTTCCAACCAACGTGATGTTCTGTGGTGAATTCGTAAAATCATAATTTTTTATTATAAAGTCTGTAATAATATGTGAACTGGTACTTACCCATCTGTCCGCCTTCACGTCGTATACTCACAGCAACTTGTTCCAGTGGGGATTGTGTGCTTGTAAAAATATCATCATTGCTTCACATTCTGATATGGTGTATTGCTTCAATGATTTGGGTGCGAACAAGAAGGGAATCGGTTCGCTGTCAGCCTGTTAGGTGCAAGGTAAAAGTTAGCTTGTCATACGTGACACTTATGATCAGCTCGACCTTGGAGCACGTACGGTCAGCCACAGAGAAATCGATATGTTTCTATTGCAGCTGGCTTCAGCTGCCTCTGTTGCACGTCTTGCTTCTTCTTCCTTAGATCGATTGAGATGATATGTGCGCACGGTTGAGGTTGAAAGCACTAAAGGATGAAGTGGAGGAGCAGGCCCTAGTTGATCCGCCACACTAACATCTGGAATGGCCGATTGTCCATTCCCAGTCGATTCTTGCGTAAGTAGCCCTCTTTCATCGGCGGTGTCGAAAACGGTTTGTAGGAACGGCTGAGTGCTAGGTGCGATCTTAGCACGCTCACCACTTTCATGGGTGTAACACTTAGTCCCTGTGGCTTCACGCTGGGTACGGCAGCACTAAATTTCGCATAAGGAATTTAAGTAATCAGACATTTTGCGTTGTATAAATGATTGTGATTCGTGTCAATACGTACACCGGGACACACATGCCATGTGCATTGTCGGTTGGCGTGCTTGGCTCTGCCTAGATGGGGTGCTCCTCCGTTGATGCCACTACAAGCTTGGCGCGATCGTTTGTTGTCCGACATATTGTGATTTGTGTGTTGAGCGTTTCTTTTCCTAGGTTGTGTCGTAAGGGTCGATTGGTTGGGCGTTAGTGAAATCTGAACGTTGTCATTCAACGTGCATATGTCTTGAAGGTACTCGTGTTGGCTGTAAGTTCGAATTGCTCCCTTTTTACCGGGTTCGAGGGGGCACTGTATGATATGAAAGCAAGATGTTTGCATATCAGCAACCATTCCTGGCATTCAAATAAGGCTGTCGTCATCATACCGATAGGCCTATCAACGGCTTGTTGGGCTGGTGTCGTGGATTGTAATAGTACAAAGAGTGGATGGGTTTATCTTTGCAGCGAAGACGGTCACAACAGAATCCGGTGGGTTGATTTATGGCAACGGTAAGGCGAGTTTGTGGATTGATTCGACGTGCGGCAAGGAGCTTGGGGTAATACAAACTGGTCATTGGTTCTATCGAGTTATTTTTCGTATTCAAAATTAAACGTATATGATTGAGGGAATAGTTTGGAATCTTATTGAAATGAAAAATTGGTTTGTGCTCTGTCTGACTATGGTGTTGGTCGGTTTTCATGTGGCGAAATTTGCGCGGTTAGGTGAATCTTCCACTGGAGTGGGTATATCCGCTCCTCAATGAAGGAGGTGATTAACGTATTGGCATCATCCGCGCTGCTGGGATATAGGTGGTTGGTCGTCATTTGCCCAAACGGGTTGATTAATCGCCGTGTTGTGAAGTGGCTCGGGGTTGCGCTGCTCTTGTTCTTGCCAGTTTAGGATTCGATGGCAGCACGCTCTAGAGTCGAGGAGGTGCCATGTCGCCTTGTTACCCTTTGGTACTTTGTGTATTTGGTATCTCGCTGTGTCGAACGGATTGGTGAAATGTCTGACACATCAGCTGTCAGGTGTGTGCGACACTTAAGTAGGAACGTTCCTTAGGGTTCTTAGGGAACCTTTTTTAGGGAACGTTCCCAATTATGCGCGGATGCGACCATGCCCTCTCCTAACTAGTGTTACTCTTTGACACTGTACATCACGAGATACATAGCATCTCCAGAGCTCTTCAACTGAGGTAGGTTTTCAAAAACTTGCCTCAAATTCCTCGCCAATCAACTCGACTAATAATTCAACATTGGTCGTATGTCAGGCCTCATGAATCTGGGTGTACTACAACCTAGTCTCAACCGAAAAGCTCTAGGCTTCGTAGAGCCTTTCGTCCATGCTCGCAAGCTTATGTTTCAAAACATGACAGACAGCTGCGAGGGATACGAAATAGTAAGAACGGTCCAAAGAGTCAAGACGCACAAAAACACCCAACATAGCCTCATCTTGAGCCGCTCTCTAGGGTAAGACCTGGCAGGTCACCCTTCCCTCTAACGACATAAGCTGCAACGCATTGTGATTAATGAGAGTAACAACCGGCTTCATTGCTTGTCCCGAACGGACAAGAATTCATTGGCGCGTGCACATTGAGTAGAACCAGTGCTCGATGCCTCTTAGCTCGAGTTGAGACTTGGAATAGTACATTGAAGAAACCCGCTGTTCACTTCCAGTGTCACAGCATCACATCATCTCGAAATGAATACACAATGAAGACAAAACCCAAATCCCAGTAGAAAGGTGCCAGGATCTTAATAAGGCAATAACCTCTTCCTTTCTTCAAGTTCATTACGTTGTTCTAAATCTTCAATCATCATCTCTTCATCTTCATCTTCAAGTCTTTCAATCTCTTTCTCAATCTCTTCAATCTTTTTGAAAATCTTTCGATCTTTAATTCTAATTCCTTTTTCATCACATAATCTTAACATTCGTTTTTGTTCTGTTACGTTTTGATAAACTGTTGATAATTTGGGTGAAAAGGGTAGTAGATATAGATCTATTTTTCGCAACAAAAAGGTATGTAAGAAAACTGTGACTTGATGACAGTCACATCCCAAGAATCAACATTCTTACCTTTGACCCACGGGCAAGCTGCATGTGACCGAGTGATGATTGACCTTGCTCTAGTATAATTCTCATTACGGATTTCGAATTCAATGTATAACTTCCAAAGCTGAAAACTAGACTTCGTTCTACCAAAAGAAGCACAAAAATATTAATAACTTGTCACAGAAACTTCATAAAAGACATAAACTGACCTTTGGTTTAATAAAGCTCTTTCAAAAAGTCTACGAACAGCCACTTGATTATATCCCGTCACATTCAAATGCATTTCAACCCAAATCGCAAATAACCAACTATTACTGGTCACACTCATTTCATTTTTCAATAAACAACCTTCAATCAATCTTCTAGTCTCATTATCAATCTTCATCCTACTCTCATTAAATGCAAACAACGAAAGAAATATACTATTATTCTTAAACTTTTCAACTGATCTTTTTAAAATCTTTCTTAATTCAAATGGTTTATAACTACGATGATTTTTAATATGTTGATAAATTATTCGACAATAATTCATCCAAAGTTCTTCTTCTTCTGCTAAACTATTCAAATCTTCAATCGCTTTGATTGTGGTTTCAAATATATCACAAGATGATTCAAATCCTTCACTCGTATATTGAAGAGTTGCAAAAGCTGTTGCATCTGATACTCTTTGACGGATCATATCTTGAGGAGCATCGGAATGGAACACGGTAGAAATGCGGGACATAAAAGCCTACAAAGTTCAGATCTTGATAAGTATCACACTGCCTTTCAATCAGAACTGTGAGCTTACCCTTCTCGTCCGTAGTAAGACTGTTGCTGCTGGTTGCTCGACAGTAGTAGCTGCCAGTACTATTCATTTTCGAGGGGAAAATCACAAGAGGTAAGACCTTAAGCTGATAAAAACTGTAAACAACGTTACTAACCCGCTGGTGTAACATCCAAACATTTTGTCGCTCGAGCCAAAATCCTTGCAGCTAGACCGCAATTTCCCAAGTCGGTTTCCATTTCAGCCCAAGAGTACCAGATCAATGTTAGATCTTGCCGTTCTTCTTCGACTAAACTCAATGTCTTCACATATACATCTCGAGCTGTTTTGACTTTGCCTTTCAAGAGACATAATCTAGCATATGTATCCCATAGCAACAAACATGATTGATCCTTGCTCAAGATCTCCTTGGTCATCTTGATTGCCGATGTGACATCTAAACGAGCTTCAAACGCAATCACACAGAGAGTGAAGTAAAGGTCTTTTTCCAATACGGTGCTTGTCCGTAACAATGCTAGCGCATTCTGAATGAAAGGGATGTCGCTTGTGTTGGGAAGGAAGCTTGTAAACCATTTGGTCGGATCAGAGAATAGCTGTCGTTGGTCAGAAGGAAAGACTCGAAAGGGCGTCTTCAACGGATCTCTGATGCCTGATAAGCTTTCACGCATTCCGTTGATATCAACTGCTGTGACCGGTTCAATATTGGGCCAAAAGAACGCCTGTCGGTCGACCGTGTCACAGATCTCGGATGAAAGAAATGGGTCTGTGAAAAAAGCCACATTGGTATCCACATCCGGTGGAGGGAGACATAGTCCCATGAAAGAAAGGAATGAATAAAGTAAAGCCTGCTTTGAATCAAAAGTCGAAACACGGAAAAGGAGATTCCGAATATCATCGAAGAGAACACATCGGAATGGATCGTCGTCGCTATCAGGGTCGCTGGTCCTTGTAGGTCCTAGGATTTTTAACTCTGTTTCTTGCCAGGCGCCAAATTGTGACGGATCAGGACTCGACTCCGGATGCTGAGTAACAGGTGAGGGAGGTGAAAATTCAACATCAGATGAGTATCTAGACCAGCCTATTGAGCCAGTCTCCCCGATTCTTGGAACTTCTGAGTCCCAAAAGAGTTCAAAGTCTTCCAAGAGTTCACTTGTTGATTGAGCGTGAGCGACTGGACTCAGAAAGTTGAGCTCAATGATAGCCTGAAATGCAGCTACAGCACGCTCATGGAAACCTTTTCACCGAAGATAATCAATAATCAGTAAACTTCGCCGCATTCAGATTCACATGTGAAGATGGACGAGAATCGCGACTAACAAACCTGCTTGTTTCAACATGATGCAGCAACGATGAAACAAATAGACTAAGCTCTGTTCATAATCATTGACGTCTGCAATCCAACGTCAGCGCAAGGGTTGCTAAGAGGCTCGCGTGAATTTTCCAAAACATACCTCTATCATCAGCCTTGTCGTCGGCACGCCTCACAAGTCTGTCAATCAACTCTTCATATACTTCAACCATCTCGGTCACATTCATGCTACCGGCATCAGTTTGTCGCCAGTCAACATAAGCTATCCATAGCCCAGTGACACCAGGATGCGAGTCAAGCATTTTGCGCCATTCTTGTGAAGAATCAACATCGGGTTGATCGCAATATGCTCGCATGTAAGCCAGTAAGATAGATTCGTCATTCTGGTTTGACTTGACCCGTAAAGCCTCTTTGAGATATGTCAATTTCAGGTCACTGGTACCTTGCACATGCTTTCGAACTGCATCTTGATCGATATCAGTTTGTTTAGCCCTCAGCCCGACCATTCCAAGTTCCTTCATCTCGTCTTGAAGATTGACCAAAGCCTACATAATAGCATAACTTTCAGAATTGGTCAAAAGATCAGAATTTGGAACAAGACACTCAACTAGCCACGTCTCAGTATCACTAGGATCATCTTTACTCTTTCTTTCTAAGTCACCTTTCAGCTTGTTGAGCCTCTCAAGAACAGACTCCCCGCCATCTTCTTCCGGCGGTAGATAATCGAATGCGTCACCGTCCGAGTCCACCTCCTCTGCATATGTTTCATCGAATATCGATCGAGGTTCAGGCTTCGGTGGCGGGCGCATCTGTCCATCCGCCCTCAGACGTTCATCAATGCTGATAAAACTTGCAGCTGGACCGGCAGGAGATTCTGAAGACGATTTAGGAATCACGATCCGTTTGAGATTTTTATCGTTCAGTAATTGAAATGTTGCTTCATCGGTGATCGAGATGGCCTTTTGTCAGGTAAAGGAAGAGGAGGGAAACGGACTTCAGTTTTGCTGAATTGTCGATTTGATGATCAAGCTAAAAATCGGAGCATCAATAGTAATGATATATAAAGATCGCCCTCAACTTTACGACGACCCTCTTCACTCAATTTCAAACCATTTCCTCGATACGCACTATCAAGAGTGATTCGCCAACGATGATGTATACCCAATACTCGTCCAGCTGTTGTAGACACATGAATACATTAGCTTTGATTAATCAGCTGTGCTGAATATAACGAAGAAAAAACAGCATAGGAGACTTACCACCAATTCGTCTGTAATTAGGAACTTTGCCTTTGTCTGGTTTACCATTATGTAAATTAAAAGTATCTTCCCTAAGATCAGTATAAAACAATTTCTTTTCTTGTGGATTTGAATATAATAAAGATTGATTTGATAACTTTGATGATGTTTTAGATTCCTTTTCGATTTTAATCCGTTTGGATTGTTTAAGTTCATCTTCTGTTGATCTAAGTTTTTTGTTCTTTGATTTCTCGCTTTTGATTTTCTTCACTTCTGAATTTACGATCCCTTTTTCTAAACCCAAGCCAAGTGAATCCAGGAAAGTGTCGGCTGGATCATAACTTGATTCAAGTTTCCTGTCGCCTTCTGGCTTCGAAATGTGAGTGCTCCTTGATGAGCTTTGTGTAGGGAGTTTTTTGGTGCGCTTTGTATCAGTACGGTTTTTGCTTTTCTTGTCAGATTTCGACTTGCTACCGGCTACCTGATCCCGAGGTTCATTGGATGGTAGGTCAGGAAACGAATCGAAACTGGGAGCTGGAACATTGACAGTCGGCGGCTGGAGACTCGAGCTTTGTGCAAGGTGAGATGGGAATGAATCGAATGAAGGTGGTTGATCCATTGAAGGTTATGATTTGATCCTGAGTGGTATCATTCGAGTTGATTAGGTTCCCTAGTGTTTGTGTTTGATTGTGGTTCGTCCATCGATCATTATCCTGCTCAGCGTCCAGTTGTCCAGGAAGTCTCATTTTTGTTTGAAGCATACACACACTTCAGGCTCAGCTGATGCTAATAAAGAGCGTAATAGCTCGCTGTTTTCACTTCCCGATATTAGGATATCTTTCTAACAAGAACTTTCACGATCACACAAATCCGATTCCTCACACTTCGATCTTTCAAGCTTGATCAACAGAATGTTATCCTCCATCATGCTTCAACACTGATGTCAAAATTGGTTACCACCATGATAATCCAACATGATATCGGCCAAATTCTCAACTCGCGGAAGCGCGATATTCAATTTCATCGATTTTTTTCCAGGAGTGTGCTTCCGATGATGTTGATTATTCGAGTCTTCCAAAGCCTTCTGAAAACTTGACTGCTTGCTATCCAAATTCTTTGACCCGTCAGCCTACCATGCACTGAAGTTAGAACACAGTTCTTATAATTGGTCTTCAATTGAACTCGAACACAGCACTGCTTCAGTTGGTTTATATATTCAAACCACAAGCTTTCCACTATCCATTCTGGCCTTTTGGCTTAGATCAAGTGTAGTATCTGTTCTTATCAGTGTAATTACTGGTATTGGTTCATCGAACCAATCAATTAATTACTCTTATCTTTGTATGCCCTCGACCGCTCACTGGCTTGCCAGCGTGGTTGAGACGATGGCCTTGGGCTCACACTACCCCCTTGTGCTGTCAGGCAAAACCTCTTTTTTGCCAGTTGTATATATCAAATACTGATCATATCTTTTTGTATTTATTTCATTGTTTAAAGTGCCCCCTGAGCTAAAGGCTATCAGGCACTACAGCTACTTTATTTTTGCACCACTCCAGTAAAAACCTCAGCGGGGAAAATGAAATGGGCTGGCTGTTACCAAGGCTGCCACTATACTATACTATACTATACTGTGACTATACTTGGTATAGTATAGTTCAACTATACTGTACTTGAACTATACTCGGTATAGTATAGTACAACTATACTCATCTATACTATACTATACTGTGCAGTATAGTTGAACATGCTGATGGAAAACTTGTGTAACCCTTGTCCATGTGTAGTTGATCAATTGATACTATACTGAGTATAGTTGAGCAAAGTATAGTTTCAACTATACTATACTGAGTATACAGTCAAACCTCGATGTAAGCATCTAGTATGTATGCATATCACGCTTTAAGCATTGAAAATTGTGCGCTGATTTTTGCTCCTACCAGCTAAGAGCATCCGCACTCGTGCGGTAAGTCGGGTGCGGTAAGGTTAAATTTACCGCAAACGCGGGGTCTTTTCCACACCGGTGAAAAATTAGCCCCGCGGTAGTTAATTTTCGGTCATTTTGCGTTAGCGAATCGGTAAAATTACCAATTGGCTAACGCATGCGGTATCACACATCACGACTTGTTCCCGGCAACTCGACTCCAAAAACAAAACTCAACCAGACCTCCAACACCAAAGTCAACAACCAATATCTCCTTTTCACCACTCACACACGATGAATTCCAAGCCTTACAGTTGCATGAATCAACTCGAGAACGTTCGACACCGATCGATGTCTTCAATTGAAATAAGTCAATCAACCATCTTGAACTCGACTCCAAACCATTCAGATGAAAATGAAAGATGTCTAGATTCATATAGCTATGTAGAGGTCAATATTTAAGAAAATCAACATTAAAAGACCAATCATTGGAGGACTTTTAGGATCAAGTGATACAAATTAAAAATTGAAGTTTGGATTTTTATTTCCTAGTTTTAAATTCTTTAAATCTTTTACAAGATCATTATGTGTATTCAGACTCATTAAAAGCTTTCTCGATGTAGTAAAGCCTTTGTTTTTTAATTGGAATTCATGTATTAAGATCTGAACAAACTCATGTTAAATTTGTAATTTTAAATTAAGATCTATCGATCGAGTAGATGAACAGGATGATATCGGGTCTTCATGTGTAGATGGAGTATTAGTATCTTAGTGCAAAGAAGAGAACAGTGCCTCTATCACATGAAAACTGGCCATGAAAGCAGGTGATGTGTACTCAAAAAATTAAAACTTTACCTTACTGCACAACCGGTGCGGAGTACATGCACTATCTGTAAAGTTATAAAAGTTACAGCGCTGCTAATGCAAACGAGTGCGAAATTTGGTTGAGTTAAGTAACTTTTTACTTAATGTTGTGTTTGTTACCGCACGTGACCAAATTAACAACCGCAAACGAGTGCGGATGCTCTAAAGTGCCTTGCGATGTATGCATATCACCTTATAGGCAAGAGAAAATCTGTGCCAATCTCTATGCTTACATCGAGGGTTGACTGTAGTATAGTACAATTTAAACTATACTATACCCAACTATAGTCATACCAGTGTAGTATAGTGGCACCCTTGCTGTTACCCATTGGGGTTTAAACCTCCAGGTGCTGTTACAGAACAAGCTAATGCCTTTAAAGGCTTTGGGTTGGTGGAGAATGCTTTTAGATTCTCGGAGTTGGTGTTTAAGTATTGTTTTGGTGAGTTTTAGTCTTTGGCGTTCAAATCTGTGGCAAATAAACAAGAAATGGTCAAGTGTTTCAACCCCTTGTCCACAATGGCAGAGGGGATTCAATCTTTGGTTATGTTTGAAGAGAAATGAGTTGAGGGACATATGATTGGATTTTAGCTGGGTTATTATTGAGCATTTGTGTTTCTCAAGGTTGCGTAACACTGTGAGATGTTGTTTGGGTGAGGGCTTGTGTCCTGATCTTTTGATTTTGTTGGTGGCATAGTTGTTGTTTTCTAATACTGTCCAAGCCTTAATTGCTGTCAGGAAGCTCGCAAGGCTTGATGTTGAGGTGAAGGTTCTTGCGAGGTTGCAGTTTGCTAGTTTGTTAGCAATTTTGTCTACAATTTCATTACCTACTATCCCTTTGTGGACACGTGCTGCGTAGAAGGCTGCTGAGATGTAGTTGAGTAATTTGAATGTTTCTTTCCGGTCTTGAAGTGATGTGATGGAGGTCAGGCAGTTGCCTAGGCCGTTGACCCAAGAAGGTCTTGACACAACTCCACCTGATCTTATAACAGCACTTCACACTTAATCAAGCCAGAAAAATGCCTGATATGGTTGATGACGGCAAGAACCACTGAATCAGGTGTTTTTCAGAAATTGTTCCACAAGTTGCACAAGTCATTTACAAAACAAAACAAGATAATTTTGAGGTTGTCTTGTTGAGGGCTGTCCAAAATTATCCTCAGCAGAACACATTTCATAAATCCCGTTTTTTTTAACTTTTATAACCCTGAAGAACTTGGGTCTTTTGTTATTGTAATTACAAAATATCTGGTCTGTGGTTTCATGCTTCTTGCTTCCACCAACCATACTTATGATCTCAAGGCAAGGATTTGATGTCTGAGTTGAGATCTTAATTCTTGGTACAGGAAAATAAATACAATTTGACATGTGCCAAATGAGATTACAGTTGCGTCTCAGAAAACCAATGTGTGTCAAAACCAACACTCTTGGAAAACTGATACTTTCTTGGTCAAATATATTTTATTTGCGGTGAAATTTGTCAAACCCAATAACCAATACCTTTTTTTTGAGTTCCCAACTTCAAAACCAATACTTTAGCAGGTCACATGACTTGGGATTGTGTTTTTGTTGTATTTTTTTGTTCACACCACATCCTTCATTGTATTGACAAGCATCCTCACCTCAAATCAAATATCATAGTTCTATAATCATCAATAAACTTATGTAGTTCCACAATCATGCTTCCCAAAGACCTTTTGAGATACACCATTTCTTGGATTGAAAGAGGGTTTGAAACCTTGAAAACCAAGGACACTGCTTGCTTAGAACCTTTGAAAGAGCTAATCAGTTCAGTAAATGCACTTACCAAAGCCAATGAAAGGTTCATAGATCAATCAGCAAATCTGGTAGACCAGTTGAGGGTGGTGGTCCAAATTAAAGAGATTGAAGATGTTGCTCACACCGTCACTGAGTTCAACAAGGAGGAGAAGGCACATTAGAGGTCCTGATCCTCAAGGCTGACCAGGCGGGTCCAGTGATTGCAATATCACTTAATAGTGAGTATAAAGCATTTTCAGCTAAAGGTGTAACCTTGAAGCTCACTAAATGATGGGTTAAATTTTGATCTTGCCTTCCAGGAAAGCGTAGATGTACGGAAACTTTACAGCCAAATATTATTGTCAAACAAATCCTACAAATACAAAGGAAAAAGTAATGAAGAAGGTCAACCCAACCTTTTCTCAACAAATCAAGATTTTGAACTGGCATCGCGCCAATGGAGGGATTAAAACTAAGACTGCAAAAGTATGTAAAGAAATTTATCTTGCGCTGCTATTTGGACAGCCTTGGCTTTTGGAATGGTTGCCTGAAGAGACAAAGATTTGTGCCGATTATACTTCCGGTGCTGGTGTTCATGCCAAGCAAAAGATTCTAACAGAGCATCCACAAGTAAACCACACACTTGAGACCTGGGTTACTCAGGCTGAGCAACTGGGGTTTGTCTTGACTGGATCAATCCTCCAAGTGATGTGTAATTGCTTTGCTGACCTCTTCAAGATACCAGTTGAAGATTGACTGTGTGTTTCCAATGGATGGTTGACAAGCTATAAGAGCCAGTTGGGTCTACGTTCAATCAAACATCACAGAGAGACTGGTTCAGCTTCCCCTGATGCTGTTTCTGCAGAACCCCCCGTGTCTGTGCTATCACTGATCTATACAATCTTGCCAACATATATAATATGGATGAGACTGGCCGTTTTTATGAGTAAGTCTGAAATATGATAGGCTTTGAATTCTTTAAAAAATATTCATGTATCTGTCCCTTCTGTAGAATGCCTCCAGATAGGGGATTGACATTTAGTCCAAAGTTGATGCCAATGGATCCAACAAACAGCACCCTCTAGCCATAGGGAAAGCTAACAAGCCAGTCTGCTTTCATGGAAAGACAGGTGAGCAGCTTGGCTTTTACTACCGGAACAATACAAAAGCTTGGATGCAGACTAGCCTTTTCATAGAATGGATTGAATCTTGGGACCAAGACCTTAAACTTGAGTGCTGCAAGATTCTACTCCTTGTTGACAATTTTTCTGGCTATTGATCAACCAACCCAGCTAAACCTTTAAAAAACAACCAACTTGAATTCTTTGCTCCAAATCTCACATCTCACATCCAACAAGTTGATGCGGGCATCATTGCAAACTTCAAGTGTTATTACTGTTCTGAATTCATAGACTTTGCCATCAATTGCTACAAGCTCAACATCCCAATTGGCGAGATCTACAAAATTCATCAATTGGACACTGTGAAACTTGCTTCCAAGGCCTGGTACTGGGTTACCAATATGACAATTGTGAATTGCCGTAAAAAGTCTGGCATTCTGTTGTATTGAAATCTAGAAGGATCAGTCAAGAACCACAATGATGATATACCTTCTGAAGACTTCAATTCTGATCCAATCATTGACAACTGCTATAGAAACTTTAAGCACTGACTTGAACAGTTTTGAAAGCTTGACAATTTTTCATGCACCAAACTGCATGTCAATCTCACATATCCTTAATCTTATTGGTAAACACTCAAGTAGGTTAGAAGAATGGACCTTCAAAGAGATTGTTCAAATCATTCAAGTAGATATGCAAGAGAAAGCTATAATTGAAAACACACCACCACCTTGACCAACTCATCAAGCATTTCTTGAAGCTTCTGAGATCATGATGAGATATTTGGCCTATGGCAATAGCAATAGAGTGAAAGAGTACAAAATTAAGGGCCATCTGGGAATCAGTAAGACTTTGCTGTGTAGTCAGTGCCAAACCCGCCAAGCAGAAAACCCTCACACATCTCATTTCTAGAGACACTTTGTAACTTCCCAATACTTCTCTGTCATAACCAATTAAGACTTCTGATAAGAGTTCTTGCTGCTTGAGTATCTGACATATTACCCTTGAATTTATGATATTCTTGGAGTAAAGATGAAAATTTGTCAATGTGAATTTTTAAGCTATCAGATCTAAGTTGAGTCATGTTCTGCAGAGCAATTTCAATATGTTTGAGTTTTGCTTCAGAAATGTTTGAATGAAAAGTCTTGAGATGACTCCATAAAACGTAAGGATCATAAACAATCATGATATCTTTAGTAGTAGGATCCCTATGGGTTAACTTATCTCTAGCACATTCACCATTTACACCTTCACATTTGTTGAGGATCCAAGTGGAAATTACAAACTTCACTTTCTTATGGTTGTCATCAGTAAGTGATGTGTCTCTATAGTCTTTCACATCAAGGTATGATCCATAGCCTAATGATTTGATGGATTGATGTATAAGTAAATGACAGTAGTTGAAATTTTCATCGTTGAGATCATTCTTGACAATGAACTTGCTCAACGCAGTAGTAGTTCAATGTACAAACAGTTGAAGAGGTGTATAGGAAGCATTGGTGGAAGTAACATCACCGGGAAGTTCTGAACTCATTCTGGGTGATACAATGGAGGGTAAAACCAGAGACCATAGACCTGAGAAGCTTTTCACAGTAGAAGAGGAGGATTCTGAGCTCAATTTCTCAGATTTGGAGTTGATGTTGACAGTTATAGGATTTCTGTCAATAGACTTGGAGTCAGTGTGAGAAATACAATTATTTTCCTCTTCAGATTGCATAAAAGAATAGGTCGTTGATGAAGAAGAGAGTTGATATTATAATCATACTCTTGCTACCATGTAAAGATCAGATTTGATTCAGCTAAAGTGAGCAAAGTGGTGTAGCCAGATAGAAAATTGGAACCTGGGGTAATCAGGTAAGCGTGAGTATGGCAACAAGCCACAGAAGCTACATAGAGCTAATCAAATGACAAACCTGTGCACAAGCAACAGGAATGATGTACAAAATCAAGAGATACAAGTGTAAGTGAAAACTGAGTAATAAGATTCTTTTTGATCAAAAGCAGACTTGGCATACCTGGGGTAATCAGGTAAGTGTGAGTATGGCAACAAGCCACAGAAGCTATGTAGAGCTAATCAAATGACAAACCTAACAGCCCACAACAGTTAGTAAAAAGAAATGAAGTTGAGAAAGATCAAACTGACAAACCTGTACACAAGCAACAGGAATGATGTACAAGATCAAGAGATACAAGTGTAAGTGAAAACTGAGTAATACTAAAAGTTGAAAGACATGTATTAGACTTTAATGAAGTTAAACAAGTATATAATGAAATCACTTACAGATTCTTTTTGGCCAAGGAAAAGTATCTGGATGAGGGACAGTAGCAACTATTTAACCAGAGAACAACTCAGACACACATACACATTCATTACAAATTAGACAAAAAGAAAAGCTCAAGTCTCATATGACTGATTCGCAAAACAGAATAATTTGATATCTTCATTACTCTCCTAATCACATAACATCCTTATTTGTAAACTTCTTCCCAAATTTGAATTTCACTAATCATCTCTCTTCATTCTAAATGACCTTCTTAATCAACATGACATAACCGGGAGTCCTTGACCCAATGAGACAAAACTGAGAAATTAACCAAACAATTATTAACGTAACAATGACCAACATAAGCTAATTACCACAACATGATTCAATCAACTTATAGAACATGCATGGGGCTCAGAATTCACAGTTCTCTGTCTACAAAAGTGTTCTCACCTACAAGTTTCAGGTTTCAGTTTCAGGTTTCATGTTTCAGGTTTCATGTTTCATGTTTCATGTTTCATGTTTTGAAATTTTCAGGGAAGTAAGAGAATCTTACAAAAGACTGTTTGAATATGAATTCTCCTTGGAAACTAAACCACTGATCAAGACCCAACTAATGTTTCTAACAATTCTTTCTGATTATCATCCCATCACAACTTTGGCCACAGAAATTCACCCTTATTACTAACCCAACCAATATGAATCAATTCATCTTGGCCTGTGGGATCTACTTGATGTTGTTTAGCTGTGTCTACACACTCACTGACCGGGAAAGTTTTTTTCAACAAGGGCTGATAAACTGGGTTGAGCGTGACACATTTTCCAACTCTGAGATTGAAAATCTTCATCTAGGAGGACATTCAACCCATGAAACTGGCACCATGCATGGAAGATTTAAGGAGTTAGAGATTTTTGGACCATTGAATGGGGCATTCAAACATGAAACTCATGCACAGGCAGCTAGTGCACAGATGATAGAAAACAACCCTGGAGAATGTATTAATGATTGGGAGATTCTGCAAAAGATTTTAAATCTTGCAACAGAAGCTCAAAAATATGGTGGAGCTCTCAAGACCAAAGGTGAAAAATTGATGATTGCGGTCAAACATCTTGATAATGGAGTTGACCTCTTCAAGAATGGATCTGAGCTGGAAATGTTTATCATCAATGCACTGGAAGATTTACAAAGAGAAGATCTGAAAGTGGATGAAAGACTGTGGAATTTAAGTGTTCTTCAAATACTTCAATCTTTCTTGCCAAGGGGAGAACTTCAAGCAATCAGACTTGATCCAACGACAGGTCCTGTTTCCCGAGGAGGACTGGAGCTTTTCCTATCAAAAGGTATGTTTTGTTTGATCACTGTTGAGGATAAGGAATTGATTATCCATATTGTCTTCAGATAATGACTTTAGCAGGCTTTGGATAGAGGGTGTATCAAGCGGAATACTAGACAGCTTCCCTGAGAATGATTGTGAGTAACCTAATATCTGTTTGCTCAATGTTTTTCTTCCCTAAGAGACATTTGAAGCTAATTCAAATGGTTCATATCATAGACATTATAGAAATTCTCAAGCAAGTTGAGTTGATTGTAAACATAAGAAATAAACTCCAGCTCTCTGAAGCACTATCACCTACCTTGATAGAAATAGATGATTCCTTGATTCAAAGAAGCTCTTTATCCAACCCAGCTATTGTCAAGTCATTGACATTGAAGTCTATGCAGCACATGAATGAAAAGACTACTTCAACTCAAGAAACTCGATGCTTGTTTCGCATATTGCAGCATCTATGGACATTCTTTCCAAATTCAAGGAGGTGTATAAAGACCAATGTGGACGCAAATCACCATTTCAAACAGATTTCAAAGATAATCCAATGCCAATCTAAATTAAAGCCTCATATTGAACAATACCTTGAGGGAGGAGATATTGATCCTTACATGGCAAATCTTTTTTTGAGTCTTAACAGTTGGAATCTCTGTCTAGATTTCCTCAAAGACCGCCTTCATTTATTGCATATCCAAGACTCTGCATTGAAAGGGGGACAGGCAGAGACATATGGTCTGGATATCAAAAAAAAGGAAAAGTATTTTTTTGATCAAGATACTTTCATTGACTTGATGGTTATAGCAAGGACTGATTATCCAGAACTTGGAAGATATTTGGATAGTCAGGTGGAAATGGATAGTAAGTGCTTCTGATTCCAGCCTCAATCTTACAAATAATACCTTGCAGCAAGATTGGATCAGCCAATAAAAGATATTAATCTCTGTCACCAAAGCTGTTGAATTTCTCAAAATCAAAAAATCTTTTTTGACAACTCAGCAGATATCAGCAGAAGACTTTGATAACACCAAGAGACAGATTTATTGGTTGATTTTATGTTCAATGGATGACTGATCAATTTTTCCCTTATATATTTGTAGATAAAATTGGACACTACAAATTCAAATCAGATGTCTTGCTTCAAATTGAATCCAAAGAAGAGTACCCTGATGAATGTCCCATCTGTCTAGAAGGATTTCTTCAAGGACAAAGGGTTATCCAGTTGAGATGTCATCATACCCATATTTTTCATCATCATTGTATGAACTTGAAGGTAACCTGATAGATTCGTATGTTTGCTGCAAAAAATAAAGGTATAATTCACTGATGTTTGATTGTACATTTTTTGATTAAATTCAGGAAATGACAAAATCAGCTGCACATCACAGAGAGGAATTCAAATGTCCCAAATGTCGAAAACATATTGAACTTCCTCTCACTTGTAAAGAGCACATTTTTTGGGAGCAACTGGATACAAAACATACTTCATCTTGAGGTATAGGGGGTTTCATGTCAGAAACTTTTTGTGAAACTTTTTAGAAAACAGCCAAGTTTCTTAGGGCCCGTTCAGCTAAAAACCAAATGCAGCTTTTGGCCAAATACTGATCCAATTTGAAAAACAGCCTCAAGGGTGTTTTTCAACCCCCAAAACTCTTTTTGCCCCTCAATCAATCAACTTCACCATCTTCTACACAAGACACCAACCACCCTTTTATTTCATTCACACACCCATTTCATTTACTCTTGTTTTTATTTGATTGATCACATTCTTTTGTGATCACCCATTTCCTTTTCTATAATGTCTATTGCCAATTTTTGATCAAGCCCTCCCCAATGTTCTTCTATCATTTCTTTTGTGATTGATCATTGTATTTGCAATATTCTTTAGTTAGTGATTGAAATTCCAACCAGTATAAGTGTTGATATGAATCAAAAAATTCAAGTGACTTTTGACTGAGACTGCATTAATTGTAAAATAAAATCAATCAATTAGATTTCAAGTTTTGACCAAAAAAGAGCTTTTGAATCATTGTTACCAAACATTTGACCGGTGATCAAATGGTCAATGACAATCATTTTGATCTTTCATTGACCTTTTTGGTTGACTTTTTGGTAATGTGTAATACCAAATTTTGAGTTTTTCAATCTGCCCCTTGAAAAGGGGGCAGACTGAAATTTTGGGAAAATCAGCCAAATGGGCCCTTGAATTTTACGGGTTTTTGTTCTGAAAATATATGGTCAACAGTGGTGTCCCAATTCTTTTCAATTTACGGTATATTTTGCAACATTGAACAACTTGTTGGACTATAAAATACCATATGTTTCTTGCCTTGAAAACCCCTATTGCAGGCAGCCAGCACAGCCTCTTAGGAAAAGGATTGCTCAAAATGATATCAGCACTTTTTTATATGTTGAGAGTAACGTGTCAAGTCTTGTTTTAACCACATAGTATTGAATATCAACAATGGAACGTAACCATTGACAGGCTTCATTTTAGACTTGAAATGAGGTGAAAGAGCAATGAGTCTGTTAACTTCGATACCGGCTTCTCCTACTTCGACTTTATTCTTGTCGGTTGGCGTAGGTATGTCGTCTTTAGTCAAGTCAACCTGGACTACCGTCTTATCGGTGAGACCTTTTTCTCTTGATTTTACGGCTGGGGCTGAAGGAGTCGCAGCTTGGGTAGTCGTAGCTGTCCTTTTCGTAAGAACTGACAAAATGTTTTGTATGGCCGGAACAGTAGGATCAAGGTTGTTTACGACGGCGAGACCATTTGCCTTTAGCCAAGAATGAAATCCTTGAGGTGGACTTTCACCTGCAGCTGTCGCTGTGTTTCTGCGAGTGGGCAAGCGCTCTTTCGGGGGAAATCAAGGAAGAATAATTGACCCAAGTTTGATCAGTTTTGTATTATCTCTCCTCTCCTTTGCTGGAGGCTTCACAATCACGTGGCATCACCAAAGGTGGGCAATAAACCATCACATTATGTGGCATCACCCCACGGTGGGTAAAATGGGTATTAATTGTGGCTTACAACTTTGTACGTTGCTATTGCCTACATTATCTCTTGCGATTAAACCAGCAGAATGTATAACTGAAGTTCCAGAGGGTGATTGACTGGTCTGATCAACCGGTAAAGTCGTATCAAGTGTCGCGTCTGGCGTGTTGGATGGAGTAGGTCCTCCATTCCCGGGGACTGTCAGGTTGTTAGTTGAAGCTTCATCCGTTCTGGGAACCGTTAAAGTAACCACAGGCGTTGAACCTTTAGTCGTCGGGCGCTGACGTGTTCCTCTGGTTGACGCAGGGCCATTCCCACGGCCACGGCCGTGACCTCTTCCACGTATATTTCCCACTTGTTGAGTCGGTACGATAATCTCCAAATCTGGAGGAGGTACTGATCCACCTCGTAATCTATCACTAGATCTCCTCAGCATCGCATTGAAATTCTCCGTGTTTGTAGCTTCCCTGCTGTTGCCCGGCATCTTCAATTATAGACAGTTGAGGAATAATTGGAGAAGGTATATGGACAGGATTTGTCTAAGGTATAGATGTATACTGTGTTGCTCAATCCGTTCAAAAAAGAGAGAGAAGATAGTGAAAGCTTAGGAAGCTTACTATGTGAGAGAGAAAGAGTGATAGTGAGATAATGAGTGATATCCCAAATACGAGTGTGGGAATTGCGGGAATGGGGAAATGGCGCGTGAAGAGATTTTCAAGGTGAAAAGAATACTTATCAACCTTGTACCTGAATCTCTCGCGTCAGATGAAGTATCCTCGATAGAAGGATATTCCTGTGGGTCACCCATTACCCGACCCTTACTCGTATCATGGAAATTGACAGTACCGTCGTGCCTTTGGGTACCGTCCGTCATGAATCATTGTTACCAAACATTTGACCGGTGATCAAATGGTCAATGACAATCATTTTGATCTTTCATTGACCTTTTTGGTTGACTTTTTGGTAATGTGCAATACCAAATTTTGAGTTTTTCAATCCGCCCCTTGAAAAGGGGGCAGACTGAAATTTTGGGAAAACCAGCCAAATGGGCCCTTGAATTTTACGTTTTTTTTTTCTGAAAATATACAGTCAAATGGTGTCCCAATTTTTTTCAATCTACGGTATATTTTTCAACATTGGACAACTTGTTGGACTGTAAAATACCATAAGTTTCTTGCCTTGAAACCCCCTAATGCAGGCAGCCAGCACAGCCTCTTAGGAAAAGAATTTCTCAAAATGATATCAGCACTTTTTTATATGTTCAGGACAACTCCTGATGATTGTTAGTCAAAGTACTACAAAGGACATATTTTACACCCACATAAAATGATGACTCATTTAGATCACTTCATTTCCATTTTTCTCACAAGACCTTCTCATGTTGTTATCTGATTATGTCTGTCTGTTTGTCATCTGCTCATATCTCCATCCCTCTGGATGCTCATTGTCTTTCAAATTTTCCTTAGCTAATACCTAAATCTCACCTGCTAAATCTAATCTTTGAATTTCAAACTACTCACATATGAAGCTTTATGTGACATGCTTCTTGGTACATAACATATATTTTTATAGCCAATTGAGGCTGAAGTGCCATACAAAACTAGTCTCAATGATTTCAAGCATGACTTATGTTATCACTCTGCATTAATCAATATGAATGAGTACAATTGGTAGATCTTCAAATGATTTGATCATCAATTGACAAGCACTGCCAGCATAGATGTGTTGGGTTGAGACATCCAAGGCATTGTTGGAGGTAAATCCTTGAACAGGCCTTGTCTGAGGTTTTCATCCAAGGTATTCTTTTGTGCTGAGAATTACCTTGTATGAGTCCCCTGGGGAGCTTCTGTGAGAGGTTTAGCATCCAAGGTTGAAAAATCCAAGGTAAATATGTTGGCAGTGAAGGATGATGTGAACTAAATTTCTGAAAACCCAAAAAAGTTTGCCAATGTTATGAAGACAAGATAGCATTGAATAATAAGAAAAACAATTTATAGTCATTTATCAACATATCTAGCTATTGTATACAAAAAATAGTAAAACTCCATTATACATTTCACGAGTGAAGAGTCACAGGACTCGTATCCCTCAGTGTACCACCTTTGAAAACTTTCAGAACAGTATCAGACATCTCAATACATCGTATCAAACAATCCAACCTATCATCCAACAAACTAATCTCTTTCACTCTTTCACTCTCACTCTTCAACTTTGTACAACCTTCTCTCAACTCTTCAACAAACTCATCTCCAATTTTGCCTTCTGCATCGCACCCACCCACCATTTTACTCATCCGATCATTACCTTCTATACCTCTATTCCTATTCCAAACAAAAACTTTACGCTTCTTTCTAGAAATTTTGATTTTTTGAAGACCTGACCAATCAATCACAATATCGGGTTTTTCACCATTCATCATAACTAGACATCTAGCACCTTGAAAATAATTTAAACTTGAAATTTTAAAAATCAAAAATGGTGTTTGACTTTTAATCAATTCAAGGTTCCTTTCAATATATTTAATTAATTTTAATAAGTATGTTGGTAGTGCTGATAAATGATAAAAAGTAGCTAATGGAATCGATTTTTGTATTGATGTTTCTAAAGTTGATGGTTCAGCTTTTGAAGAGAAGTCAGGTGATCTCATCATACATTGAACCTAATGAATATTTAAAATCATCCTCATCAGAGTTTCTTCTTGGTAATTAAAAAAACTCTATTACTGACCGTTTGACCATCTTGTTTGATAACAATTAAATCACCACTTTCAGATCCCAGATATTCAATTGCTTCTTTCTTCAACCAAAACCTCACTTCAAGACCATCGAACGGTTCGACAGTAAGATCACTCTTCGGAAGTGCTAATTGTAGAAGACCATATTTGAGTGACTTGATAAGAGGTGATAAACCTTGAGTAGAGATAGGTTTTATTGTACTCTTGAGAGGATTAAGCGGAGTCTCTGTATCCGTAATCTTATTAGAATCTATATGAGGAATAGAGGTTTGATCGTTGACGTTATTAGAGAGAGACTTGTGAGTCCTTGTCTGACTTTGATTCTCAGGTGAATCTTTCATCCTTGAAGTCGCAGCTTTCCGTCGCGCAATCGAAAGATCGGCAGGAGATTTAAAATGCACTTGAGTATGCGCTTCAGGTACATACGCCTCAGTGATCGGTGTAGGCTCTGAAAGTGCTCTAAGGTTACGAGTGGTGGATACCGGACGACTCGTGTGTTTAAGATGCTCTCTAGTTGGCGGTCTTGGTACTGAAGGTAGAGATGCGATCATATTCTCTAGCGAAAGATTTCTTTCTATGTTCGGTTTGTCAATGGCTTCGACTGGATGCGCAGAAGTGTTGGCTGACTGATGGTTTGTTGAAAGCTTCCGGGATACGCTTTCTATGGGAGTAGGATCCTCTTTCTTGCCTATATCGATGTTCCGTTCTTCAAGGGTACGGTCTGGATATGGCTTCTGTCTCTTGCTCCATGAGACTCGTTCCGGCGATCTATGTACTGGCAAAGGAGCCAGCGGAGAGCTCTGGAGCCTAGATATTCCGACCGTGGGTGAGCGTTTTAAGACTAGTTGAGGCGATTTGCGTTTCGGCTGAAGTTGTGGGATGTAACATTCTTCGGTGTCATTCGAAGGTACTCCTCCATCAGAATCAAAGAGGGATGTACTTGAATTGTGCTTATAATCACCATTAGTTGTAATACTTGAGAAGCTTGACGGTGGTGATGGTGCCCAAGATCTATTATATCGATATGATTTCTTTGAACTCATCGTATCACTCTGGTGGGTATCGCGAGAATGATGAGAATCCGAATCATTATCAGAAACTTGAACAGAATAACGACTTTTGAGGCCTTGGACTTTGATTAGCTGGTTCTTTGAAGATGATACCGGTTGTTGATCACTCTTGGATAGAAAAGGACGCCGTTCTCGGTCTCGGTGATAATTAAACTCAGCATCTTCTTCAATAGACCATTGAGGAGCACGACCAAAAGGCTCAGAGACAATCCTTCGTTCCACTTTTGATGATATTAATGGAGATGGACGAAGAAGATGATCAAGTCTTAAAAGTGCTTGCAAACGAGGTGGTACAGCATTTGAACCTTCAGCCGGAGTCAATCTGTCTGGATTTTGTTCGGGTTTGCTGATTGATGTACCCTGATGAATGTGAAGTGCTTTCTCAAAGTCGGATTGAAGACCAGGAGGTGTGAATTGGTGATCTTGCCTTGATTCCTCTGGGTCTGAAATCCGAACAGAGCTAATTGGGATTCTTGATCTTCTGAACATGTCGCATACATTGGTAATAAATCAGATCTAAGAATGCTTGTGAGCTGGCAAAGGTCACCATTGATATTCTGACTCGATTCTTGTCCACCAAGCCTTGTGTCATAGCGCTTTGCACTTGCACCTTTGGTGTCTAACGCTTTTTGCTTTCCAGCGCCAGCCTCGGATAGAGATAATCTAAGACATGAACTGGTCTCAACTTGGAGCCGTTGAACGTATCTCTATCATCATGCCCATAAACAAATAAATTTATCATTGAAGAGCTTGAACAATTTATACATCTACCCTTTAGGCAGAGGATAAGATTTGCTCAAGGAAGGTTCAAAGACTTCTTCAAAATCTGGAAATGCCTTCAATGCCAAGTTCCAATGAGTTCACTGTTCAGCGACATAGGAGAGCAGAAACAGATTATAACAACTTCCTTCAAGTAGATGGGAAAATACTTCCAAAGATCAAAGAGAATTCTGAATGAGTTGGTACATAAAGATATCGTTCCCTCTAAATTGTTGTTGCTTATTTGATCGAGGTTCAGAGGAGTGGATCGGCTGAGGTTGAATTATGCTTGTATGTATGAGTTGAGCTTAGGAATATGCTTATAAATAACCAGTCACTCGGTATCCTTCTCCTTCCATCATCAAGAAGAAGAACACAAGAACACCAAGAGACATTGAACAATCGAAGCAATACTAACCAAGTTCGATCTGAACTCGAAATCACATCAACCGAAACAAATCAAACATCAAAACCAATTCATCATTTCCAGCAGATAACAAAAAACGTCTCTCAAAATAAAATGCCAGCACCAAAAAAGAATCGAGCTCAATTACCACCTAATCAAAGCAATGCTCCTAACGCAACAAAAGATACCCCAGGATGGGTAAGTTGATTTTGACATTTCAAATTTTATCGTGTGTTTTGATTTCAATTCGATACTAACAAAAAAATGCATCTGATTCTTCAATCTAGGCATTAAAAAAGGCTGATGGTACGAGACACTCTTGAACAAAAAAAGCATGACGAGCAAGATGAGCTCGAAACTTATCTACAAACATTATTCTATTCGAATTCGCTTAACTTTGATTAGGCGAAATGTTTACAAGGGCTGATATACAGTACGATCTAATGAGTGATATCTTGTAAGAGTTTAAATATCAAACTCATTCATGAAGTTTTCGAATCCATACTTATCATAGCCTTTGAATCTTGAACATTTTGGTGTTTTTCTAGCAATGATCGAACTTTTCAATTCACAAGTCCTCTAGATCAACGTGCTGTTTCTTTCAAAGAACTTTATGTTGAAACATTATCCAAATTCAGTAAAGCTGCAAAAAGTACTGTAAGACAATTAGATGAGAACCCGAATGTAAGTTTTAGAGAATCTTGATCTTAGATCTAAGTGAGAAATCTGAACTGATCGAATTCTTTGACAATAGTGGGCTACTAATTTTTGTATAGCTTCTTTCTTGATCAACATTGGTCGTATCAACACGACTGTAGCTTGTAAGCTTCAACCAATCTCTATAGATCATGGAATGAGACTGACAACTCGAAATGAATTAGTTTATCCCGAATTAAGGGCTTACATGCGAACTTATCATCCGATTCCTTGTTTACAAAAAGATGAATATTGTAAAACAAATTTACAAGATGCACCAAGAATCAAGACAATGTTAAAATCTTGTCAATTACCTTATGAAGTTAATAATGAAGCAGGTTCATTACCTGAGATCTCAAATCGTAGTGTTAGTCGATTTCTACATCTTCAATCTTCAAACTGGATTTATGAACGCTGAAACTAAGATCTCTTTTTGCACAATTTATAGGCTCATGGTTTACGTCCACCTACGACTGTTGTGAATTTAATCTTTGAATTATTCAATGTTGAACCGGTGGGCCATATCCTCAATCTATCGTAATGAACGTGATGAATAGAATTCTAACAATCCTCTCTTTTCAGTATGTAAGCGCGAAATATTTTCCCGAAGGATTTGTATTACACGATCTATTTTCACCTACAACGTACGTAATCTGATCTTGAAGCTCTTCTTGATTAATAATCCACTTACCAACCTACCACTCTGAATCCAGTATCCCAACCAAATTAAGAGCCTACGCATTCCTATGGCTAATGCACCACTTTCTCGAAGACCCATCTTCAGCAGCAGATTTCACCGTAGAAACAAAGATTCAAGCTTTTCAATTGGCAAGATTAGAAGATATTCATCCTTCAGCAAGATTACCAGATAATATAGAAAATATAGATTTAGATGATGAAGTCAATGGGGTAAAGAAATGCAATTGTATAGATTAGATTTCTTAAAGAAATGGAGAGGTGAAGAAGGGATTGGATTTATTGATGATTTACCTAATAGTGGGATTACTGCTTTAACTGAAGATGGTCAGTCAAATCTATCATCATCAAACCGATCTCTCTTTTTTTGAACTGACTTTGAATGTTGAACGGTTTGATTGAAAAGCTAACTTGACTAAGAAACAAAAGATCATGGTACAGAATTATGCTCAATCTATCGAAACTGAAGATCTTCCAAAATCTTCAGCTGGTGCAAGTGGTCAATTACGACTTAGCGCTACTTCCTCACGAGCGGATCCACGAAATGGCGGAGCTAATGACATTCCACCTGTGAAAGCCAATACGGTGGTCAAGACTCAGTTGACCCATCTTGAACGACTTCAGAGTGCGATTGATGGTATGTGATTGACTTGAACTTGAAGTGAGATGGGAGCTGATCCGGTTTGTCTCTCGGTTCAAGCCATGACGAAATATGGGGATGATGAAGATTTAGATGCAGATGAAGATTCGCTTACACCAATTCAATGTAAGTCAAGTTGATGATGAGGTATCTCTTTGTTTTGAGAATTTCAGATATTGATGATCTTTTGAATGGGTCAGTGGCATGGAAACGAAATCAAAATGATATTGCACAAAACCGAGATGTTGCCTATGATTCAGATGATTCGTCTAAATGGACAGCACCAGATTGGAAACCAAAAGAACTAAGTAAGTAACCTTGATCAAGAATCAGAAATTAACTTGTCATTATCCAAATTAAGATGGACTTGTTTTTTTCTTCAGAAAATCGATTATTGGGATTTGTATTTCCAACTTCAGATGACGATTCAAAAGATCAAGTCATCCGATTTCAAAGTAATAGAAAACCCACAATCACATCATCAACTTACAGAACTCTTTCCAAGAATCCGATCAGTTCGATTAACCTTTCGAAAACTAATTCAAATCTTTCAAATCTCTCAATGCCTTCAAATTCAAATCCACCACTTGTAAATTCAATAGAAAAAATCAAAGATTCAAATCATTTAAATCCATCTAATTCACCTAAACGTAAACGTAAAAGGAAAGTAATAGAAACCAATCAATTACAACCACAACCACAAGTCAATCAACAACCACAACCACATCTTACATCTAATCAAATTGACCAAAACCCAAATCAAGAGAGAATCACCACCTCTTGAGCTATTGAATCTAATTTTTATACCTTAATGATTTGTTTAAACTTGGATTGTGTTTTTAGTTTTAATTTTATGTTTTGATGGGGTTTTTTTTGTATAATTCTTTAATTTTGGTCTTGTGTTTGATTGTGAAATTTGTTTGAATTGTTAAAATTCTATCCAAGTTGTAGACTATTGTTGTTTTGATTTATCAAGGTATTGTTTGCAACAAAAATAAAAAGTGAAGATGATGACTTGACTTATAGATTCTCTTTACAGTCGTTTTCAAAAAGCTTGTCACAAATTCACTGCCAAATCGCTCGAGTTTTGCCGGCAAATTTGGAAAAGCTTTTTGCAAACGACTGTAGTAAATCTTAGTAAGAACTTGTCTTTGCTTTCAACTTTCAAGCATCACTCATTTTTTTGGTGATGAACTTTATTTTCAAGATCAGTTTTGATTCTTCATGTGTGATAGTGATTCTTACCGCTCATGGTATCTTTCACATAGGTCTGTTGCTTCAATTCTTTTGTTAGCCTTTGTAATACAACTTGCACCTGAGCTCAAGATCTTGATATTTCAAATGAAAGTCTATGTGATGTGAACATACAAACTCCAATCTAGACAAACCAGTCTTAGCAAGAGAAGAGCTTATAGCTCATCCACAAAATTTGGCATCTGAGTTAGATAACTTTGTCTATAGATTTATTCAGCACTTATATTCTCCCAATGATCAGGTATCCAAGCCTTGAAGGCCACTTTGACTGACATAGAACATTGCTTAACTCACTTCAAGTCATAATGATAAGGGTTTGATTTACTCAAGAGGTTAAATAACCACACCCATCAATTTTTCCTTTTTCATCTTTCTTTGCTCAAAGGATGCTTATGCAACACAGTAGACAGTCAAAGAACCTGTTGGTTCATTAATCTTGGACTACAGTGAAACATGGCATACAGTCTTGTCCCTTGTATGTTGTGATTTGATAAATCACAAAGAATCTTTTGGAATCTGATTGGATGTTCTGGTCTGCCAGTGACCAGTAAATGGGGGCTGTGAGTAAAACAAGACGATTTATTTCATGGTGAGATCTGTAGAAATTTCAAATGTGAACTCTAGCCCGAATTGGAAACTCTTGATTTGAGCCTACATATTTAGTTCATACAAAGACTAACTGTTTTCGATAAGCCTCTTGTTGTTTTTCTTACATCTGTCAGCATTCAATTCAGCAACACTTTATGAACTGAAAACTCAGTTATAAAACATGTGCTGGTTTCAACCTGACTTGAGCTTGACTAAAAATCTGTAGTAGGTTTTATCATGTGTCAGATGTGAGGAAAATTCACTATGAGTAGGCAGTATAAATTATAAACAAGAACAGAATGGCTTACTTTATTTTTTATTCATCTTCATCATCATCATCATAATCTTCTAGAGTGACGATCTCTTTTGAAGAAGATTGGTTTGAAGTTTCAGATGATTCATGACTTATAGAAGCTAATTTTTCATCAATCATTTCACTAAAGAAAAAATCCAAAATAGTGATCAGAAGAAGAAGATGTTAAGATGAGAAATTAGAAAGAAGATGAATTCAAAAGAACTTACACTTCAAAATGATTACCAAGTCTATGAGCTTCAATTCTTTCAGTAATCAAATTTGCACAATCTTTACATAATCTATCATCATCTGTTTTATTCATTTTAAACTCTAAATGATTATGAAAGATGAACAAACAAACTGATCAGTAAGATTGTTTCTTTTGGAATAGTTCAGATTGGTTGAAGAGATGAATGAGGGTTACTTACGTGCTTGTGAAAATTTGGCCTTTTGTTAAAGAGACAGAAGCAAACGAGACACTTAATTGGATTGGTATGGAATCATCATGTAGAGTGAAACTGGCTCTTACTCTTGGTAAAGTCCTTTGACAATCACTACTACAAACCAAAAAAAGGAAAATCAAGAAAAAAAATTATTAACAAAAAAGATTATATTTTGAAAAGGTAAGTGAAGGTGAGGAGATTGAACTAACCAATGAAACTCTTCAATTTGTTTAGGTACACATCTCTTACACCAAACTTTATCTTTCTTATCTAATTCGATTGATGATTTTAATCTTTCTTCTTCTACATTATAATTTTTAAATTTATGACTTCTCTAAATGATATTCCAAAGAATAAGAAGAAAACACAAGCATCAGATCCATGGATGTTTGATGGGTGATGAAGTTTGAGGGTTTTTCAAGTGTAGGATAACTTACTATTTGATTTTTACCAAACCGATTGACTAATTGATTTCCATCGAATTCGTCTAATTCTTTGACCTGTTCATGCATGTTCATCAAAAAAAACATTCAATGATTAAATGATCATCAAAACTTTCATTTGAATCATGAACAGAAACTTCGAAGAAAAACTTGGATCACATACTAATCTACAACGAGTGCAAAAGAGTCGATTTTGATTTCGATTTCGGTTTCGATCATCCTGATGAGGATAAGAACGATGAGTATCAGTAGAAGCAGAAGTAGAAGTAGATGAACGTATAGCTGGCATGATGGTCGTGTTTCAGCTCGATTGTGTGAGACTGTTAAAAAGTTATTCAAGTCAACTTTATGGAATTTTAAGAAATTATTTGGACGCTTTTAAAGTTTCCCTTTGTTCAGAGTCAGACTCAGTTTCTACTTTTACATGACAAATTCTTGATTGGCTCATCTCTTGAGATAAATATTCATGAAATTCTGAGTAAGTTTGTTTGTTTATGTGATTCCTTGTGAGTTGCGAGTCACCTGAACATTTTCCCCTCGGCTCAAGAATCACGAGAGGTTGAGAAAGGGACTGAGACTGGCAAGAGGAGAAGCACAGGGAGCGAGTCTCTGTGAGGTGTGTAGTCCTCAAAAAAGACTGATGAAGCGAAGGAAACCCTAACCCGCTGCTCGCCTTTCGAAGCTTGACTCCATCTCTCGAAATCATGTTCTTTTCTTGTATCAACCAAATCCTTTGAAGTGATCTCATTCAATCTCACTGAACATAAACAAATCTTCTCTTCACATCGGGGTGGACGCGAAATCAGCCGAGCAGGACGTTTGATCGTAACGGAGATAGAAGTCTTGGTGTGCTTCTTTTTCTCACTTCATCACTAAGTACATACAATATCGTGACTATACAATCAAAAGAACTCTAGCTTTTCGCCTTGTTCGATAATCCATGGAGGTTTTGTTGGTAACCTTTCTTCAGGATCTTAGAACGAACAACAACTAAAAACTAAATTAGTCTAAAATATCAATCCAATTCAATTCCATCCAAGCTTTTTACAAAAACATTCCACTTTTTACTCACGTTGATGGAAAAGCCAAGAACTTCAACTACTACCACTACGACTACCAAGCTATTACACAATCAATATGAACCAGATCTATTCTCATAGCTTTGATTTCTACCCGTACCAGTCAAAACTACCTTAAATACACTCTTCATCATGATCGAAAAAGACCTACAGCTTTCATAATTAATTTTGTTATTTTTCAAAATTAAAAACTTCAATCCCAACTACACCATATATATATATATAGTACATTATATATCTCTACTGTGATTTTTCGATAAGTCTTTATTACTATTTTTACTTAACATTTCTTTAATCTACTGGTTTAGAGACAACTTTACTTTACTTTTCTTTTTTATTATTATTATAGAATTTCTTTTTTCAAGTTAAAACTATTGTACAACTGTACTAAAACCATTCTTATTATCAACTTTTATCTTTTTCTCCAACTGGCATTGGAACATTTACAACGTCCTTTCTTTTTTATAAAAAACACTTTGAGTAAGTTTCGATTTCATGCATTTCTTACAGTTAAATTCGATTTACTCAACGTTTTTCATTTTTTATAGGAACCTTTAAATCATCTTCGTTTTTATTTAATCTTTTTGTTTGTGATATATATTTTCGATTGATTAATACTTCGGTGATTAAATAAGAAAACAGTCAGATTTATTTGATTAAGTTTAAATAAAATGTAAGTTTGATCTTCGAATCACTTCAACCAAAGCTGTGCAATTAATTACTTGCTGATCATCATTCCGAACTCCTATCTCCAACAATTCACTTTCTCAAAACTCCGCAACACAAACTCAATTCAAATTCTCCTCAAACCAATTCAGACCATCATCATGTTATTTCATTCATCAACTATCTTATTCTCAACTTCTCTTATCTTACAATCTGTTGTTTCTTTAACTTTACCAAGTGAATTTATAAAACAATCAACTCCAACACAGTTACATTTTAAAGAACCATCTTCTAGTTTATCATCTAATCTACATGATGATGATGAAGAAAACAATCAAGAGAATTTAAAACAAGCTGGTATGTTTAATTTCGATGAGTCTTTTATTTTCTTTTCAAACTAATTGGTTTTATAACTTTTTTGTTTGATTGATCAATTAGCTATTCATGCAAGAGAGTTAATTCAATATAGTTGAGTATTTCATCAATCGGATCTCTAAAGTTCTTGAACCCCTTTAATTAATTAATTTTTTCAATCCTACTTCTTTCCAAAATCCAGGATCAAAAGGTGTTGGAACTTTAATAAGTACTTGTAAGTTAAAGCTCTACAAACCTCGCTCAATCTTCTTTCCAACCCAAACCTCCCTGAAAAAAGCTTTTAACATTCTTTTCCTTTTCGTTCCTTCCAATCCAGTTCCAAAAGATCATCCAGATGAATCACTCCAAGGCCTACCAATCGGTCTCCAAGAATACTTTGCACCCTACCCCAACGGAGACTTACTCCTACTCTCACTTCCCATCTCCAACATCTACCATAACATCGAAACAGACGTACCAAACCATTCAGCAACACTTTCAATTAAAGACGAATTAGCTTCAATCCAACGTCAATCTTCTTTATGGTCAGCTAATTGGAGACGGATCTCTTTGTTTGGTAAACTTGAACCGATTGAAGATCTTAAAGAAGCTAAAGAGTTATATGAACGATTTCATCCTGATTCAACACTTTGGGATGGGAATGATGATGATGCTCCACATGTATCTAAATGGGTTAGGTTTAAAGTTGAAAAAGTATTTTATTTTGGTGGGTTCGGTGATCGTGGTGCGATTGGTTGGTTAGATATGGAACACTTTAAGAATGATTTCAAAAACACACCTCAAGCTGAAACTCGTTCTAGATGTTTTCATCCTGAAGGTCAAAATTTGTATTGTGATCAACCTAACTTAGGACCTGAAATTACTCAGATTGAAGAAGTTGAAACTGATCAAGATCTCGAAGATGATCAAGAAGAATATGAGATTGAAGTTAGTTTTGATGGAGATGAAGATGAAGATGACGAAGAGGAGGAAGATGAAAATGAAGAAGACTTGGAAAACCTTGTGGAGTTATGGGAAGAATTAGATGAACCTGTCATCACACAAATCATCAACAACAATTATATTACTCATCACCATCATCACCATTACCGTAGCGCAGCACCCTCTTCAATTGCAAGCAGACCTTCTGGATCTAATGAAATTCTCGAAGCAATTGAAGAAGCAGTGACAGAGATGCGTGAAGAATTGATGGAAATGACGGATGAAATGATGGAAATGACCGACGAGATGATGGAAATAGCAGATGAAATGATTGAAGAAAATGAAGATGAATCAGAAGAGGAAGAATCGGATGAGATCTTTTCAAAAGAAGATGAAGATGAAGTAGAAGAATCTCAAGATCAAGAAGAAACAGAAGAAATTGAAAATGAGATGTTAGACAAAGCGTTTAAATCAATGGGATTAATTGAAATCTTAGATGATTTTGTTGATTTAACTGAAGTAGATGAACATCACGATCAACAACCAACAAAAGAAGATCAAGAAATTGAAGATGGGGTTAAGTTTGAAGTTGAAATTTAATTGTAAATGTAAATGTGTTTGTAGTCTAATTTTAAAAGTTTCAAAGAAATAAAAAAAAAGGATTAGGATTTTTATATATCATCTCATTTTTCTTCTTCTTTTTTGGTTTCGATTACATATGTATTATATCTTTTCTGAAAACTTTGTACTTTTAATGTTTTATTGCATTTCCATTTTTTTGTACCAAATGAATGTGTTATACTGATTGAAGCAAAAGAGAATTCCACTTCAAACATAAGCGCCACTGAGACTCGAGTGATTTAGAGAGTTGAGAATGCCCAAGTTTTTGGACTCATATTAGACAGAGTCTGAGAATTGCAATTAGTAGAATTCCATAAAGGCTTTCAACTCACTATACGTACTTCTGATCATCATGCTCTGGAGTTACCTACTCTTCTGCATTACATATGCTGGCAGTGGTTGATCATATATATGCAGTATCATCCGCTCTCACCAACATCTGAGTTTGTTTTTCTTTCAAGATCTTCAACACCTCGAATTCCTACCAAATTCGGACTGAGCAAATCAACTCTCAAATCTTTCATAGTTAAAAATGACATGAGCGTTATGAGTTAGAATCATTATTGATCATTTCAAAAATCAAACATCTAACCCAAAAGAAGTTACAAAAAGAAAACTTGTTATACAATCAAAGTCTGAGTTTTTCTTGTTCATTACTTTTTTTTCTTATTTAAATTTTATCACATCAATCAAATCAAATCATAAAAAAAGATGAAAATTATCAAAAACAATTATATATTGATTTTACTTTTAACTTCATGAATATTACATTATACTTGGAAATCTTTCAAAAAAAAACCTTTCAACTGGTTTTGATTTTTTTCCCCTCAAGATTCCAAGGCATTCTGAGTGTGTGAATGATTGTTTAAAAATCTAATGGATCATCTTCCATATTTCCAAACAAGATTTGACTAAAAGAAAAATAAACCAAAACAAAAGGTATTGAATTTTAATTTCTTTAGAAAAACATGAACTTGGTTAAACTTACGTTGCATTTTCGATTTCTTCTAATTGTTCAAAAATACTAATCATACTCAATAAATAAGACCCTTTACAAAAAAAAGCAAGAGATTTTATCATCAATTTGATCCAAAGTATGAATTTTGAACGATTTAAAAAAACTGAAACACATACAATATCTTGTTAATTCACGATTGGTTAAAATCTTCGATTCATCTGATCTTGTTTTAGATTTCGAGAATTTTTGAATCAATCTAATCGATAATAAAAGTCCATCATGAAAGAATTCAATTGAATGATCTTTTCCTTTTGGTAAATTTTTAGGTAAAGGAAACTAAAGAAAGAAAAAAAAATCAACAGATTTCCAAAAAAAAAAAGTGTGAATCAGTTCAAAGAAATCATAATCACAGAAAATGAAAAAAGTGATTTTTTTTTGGGGGGTGGATTTACTTTAGATTGTAAAGTAGAAGTACAAAGATAAAATGAGACTCTAAGTTCTGGAATCGCTCTTTTTCGATGAGAATGTAATTTGTTGACGAATTCTTTTATAATGATTTCTGAAATCGGTTGATCTCCTATTGCCATTCTTGCATCCCTATTCCGATCTAAAGTAAAACAAAACAAAAAATACGAATTCCATCAAATTTTAATAAATCATTCTTCATCTTTCATTTAATTAATTTGAAATGGTTGAGAAATTTACCTAGGATTCGTTGATTGGCTCTGGGAAAGTAGGGTTTCACGAGAGGTTAATAAATGCTTGAAAGGTTCATGATGATTCAAACGAAAAAAGACTAACTTCACAAGTCTTGAATATTGTTTTCCATTAAAAGGTTTAACAAATGATGGTTCAACACTTGAAAACCTATTTTTAGCACGTAGATATTATGAAGAGCATTCCGAAATAAGAGTCACATTCGGGTCCAAAAAAAAGCACAATAACTTCAAAGCTCACTTGATGAGTGGGATCAAATTCAAAATCTGACTTTGAATTTGAGTTTCACGTTTGATCAATTCATGGTAAACTCTTCGAAGTGCTTTATGTGAAGGACGTCGATAAGGATCAGTCGAGACAGCTAAATAAAAAACCAACAAAATTTTCCCCAGATCAGAAATCAAATCTTTTAACAATTAGAACCACATGACTTTAAAAGATGATGATCAACTTACTTGCTTTAACATAAGCTTGAAGAATAATTGTATAAGCAGTATTAGCTTTCATAACTTGAGCCATAGCTTTACGTAAAGATCTTTTAGCTGGATTTCTTAAAATCAAAAGTTGTAAACTAGTGACGATAGCCAAAGCCACAGCCAAGGCTGTTAAGATCTTACCCATTCTATGTGCCGGTGAATCAAATGTATGATTACGATTCAAAAATTCTGAATAAGCTAGCACACCAGCTGAATTTAAAGCTAAAAGACATAAGATAAATAATTTAGGATCGCTATAGAGCATGTAACAGAGTGGAGCTGCAAATAATGATAAGGCTACTACTAATCCGTATGGATTGTATTTATAACCTCCTACATCTCTAAAGACCAACAAAGCACTGATCAAGTTTTCAAAAGTGTCAATTTTGCTTTCTTTGTAAAAGATAAAAAGTATCAAACATACTCACATCATTGTATACACCAAACCTAGACCTTGACCACAGATCTGGAACATAAAACTCATCCAACTCTGTCCTAAGGTGGGAGTGATAGCGACCATAATGGTGAGTAATCCACTTGATAAAGTAAAGTCTGTTGAAAATCGACGTGTCTTGTCTACCCAAAATAGAATCCCGAGTACAGAAGCCCCACAGGCTCCTTTGAAGGCGCATATACTATCAGGTGAACGAATGTAATCTTCAAGTCGGATTAACCATCCAAGCACACCCCTCTTGGATGGAATGTGTTCTCGACCTTCTAGAGCGTCTAATGCTTCACGCATTGATAAATTGCCTTTCTCGTCTTCAGATTCTTCTGTTGAGGATGGATTTACATTTGATCCTGTTTCGTTATCGTCATTTGGGTTTGTAGGTTTACGTTTTTGAACCTTTGGATTTAGATTTTCCAAAAAATGAAAGTGAAGAGATGATTTTCGTTTTGAACCATTCGGAAGGTTCTCAGTAACATGTTCAAGTAATTCGGTGACCTCTTTTATCAAATTATGTATACTGAACGAATAAGAGAATGCACGTAGAAAGGTTTGATGGATTTCAGTCTCTTCAATTTCAGTTAGAAAGGTTTGATTCGAAGTTGGACGAGAGCCCAGTGCTGGTGTAGATAAATGTGAATTCGGATCATGAGGATTGGTTTTACGGACAAATGAGATGGGGTGAGATGAGGTTTTGTTGGTTTCATGCTCTAGTTCAGCTTCTTGAATGTCTGTCGAGCTTTTTGGACCGGACATAGACAGTACAGAAGATGAAGGTTTCAGTAGCATTGTTTCGCTAGAATCATATAACCTTCCAGATCCTAAAAAGACACCTATTTTACGATATTGGAATTCTTCAAACATAGAAGAAGCCTTTAATAACTTCCCTTGTAGTGAACTGGGTATTTGCTCCTTCTTTAATTCAGTAGATGGGAAACCGGGAGTGGAATCTGTGTATGATTTATGAGACATTGGTATATCATGTTCTGGGTTAGAATTACGGATCGAGTCTGCAGAGGCGAGAGTCTCGATCGAGTATGAGTTTCGGGATGACATGTTTAATTCATTTGCAAGGTTATTTTGAACCGAGCGTAGTCTAGCTTCGACTTCCATGATCGAAGTACTCTGGCTTGAAGAACGATTTCGTTGAGGTCTTGTATCAGAAGGTGAAGAATTCTCTAAATCTACTTCTCTCATATCTTGAGCTTCTTTTTGATTAAAAGATTCACATTGATCACCGACTCCTAACTCTTTTTGAATTTCCTGTAATGATTGATGCATCGTTTTTTGAAGTTCATCTAATGATTTATCTGCTCCTAATAAAAAATCTCTTTTAAACTCCTTGGTATTTAACCCATCTAGTGATTGAAGGTTTGTATGAACTGTAGTCAAGATTTGTTGGATTGTACGGGTCTTGTGAACCATGAGATTATAATCCGACATTGACCACTTTGACCAAACTATCTCAATTCTAGTTTCTGTCATTATACCTTGAAGTATATTGAAGTCTGCTCTGATAGACTGAGCAAGCTCGTCTCGCACACGAGTTTCTTCTTCATTGATCTCTAGTCGATAAGTTTTGGAGAGTAAACAAAAAAATACACGACAGTGATCCAAAGAGGCAGCCAACGCTATTCGCAGCTCCTGCGTGAAAAGACAAAATGTGATGGAACAAATGCGAGTTTTTGCTTCAATATATGCCTCTATACTTAGGTAGTAGGCAAGCAGAACTAGATGACTGACCTTTTCCGCCGTATGAGGAAAGACAAAGATATTGACAAAGAGAATGATTGCACCACCCCATAGATATGCAGTGAGATAACTTATAAGTGAATCAGAAGAGAATTGTCGACCAGGAGCGTTGACAGTAGTTGTGATCCCATTCCAAGACATCAAAATACAAAGCAATGAGAATGCGAACCACTTTGGATCTGAGGCTTTCAGGAGTCCTAAGACTGTGACGGAGAGTGTTGTAAAATCAGTCAATTATGATAGTTTCCCAAGATCAAGTTGAAGACTGACGATAAACCATTATGAAGAACAGGAAACCTTGTCCGACAGGTGAAGGGGCTGCCTTTGCGAGCAGATAAAAATTGAATGCACCCAGACCAACGCCCAGCAGAGCCGAAATAACCAAAGTGATACATGCTCCAACCGATTTTCCAGGGAAGCCTGTTGGAAAAAGTGTGGATAGAATCAGAGATGATCAGCACGTCATTGAAATTTGTTAAGGAAGTTGAAGCAGACTGACCAGCAATACAAAACAAGAGAGCGCTAGTACCAGCAGCCGGTAAACTGAACAAGCGCTCGAATGGACCCAAAAAGAAGATGACAAAGAAGATGATATATACGAGAAGACCTGCAGAATCAAGAATAGAGATGAGTTAGTTGAGCATTTGGTCATGAAGAAAGTCAAAAGATGAATGAATGCATCTAACCCTTGAAACCCGCCAATGCATTTCGTGACCACAAGATAGATTTGATAGTTTGTATCAATTGAGGATTCATGATGAACATGCAGGTCTCTGATCAGGAAACGGTCAAGATACTTCAAGTGTCTCGTATCGATCTGAATCAGTTCGTTCAAGAGAAGAAGCAAGTCTAATAAATCTGAGACCAAAGAAAGCTTGATGATCAGATTGACGATGAGATGAAGCTGAAGAATTCTAAGTTGACAATGACATTTAGGATAAAAGTTAATCTAATGCTCACTAGCTGATAATAATATCTGATAACTCATTCAAGGCTGTGAATCCATCTGAATGAACTTGGTATCCTCTTGAGTCTTCATCAACCTATTTCTCTGATTCATGCACTTTCGGCAATCCGGACTTTATGGCTAGACCATATTTGGGTACAGACTCAGTTTTATGAGCTCAAAACAAATCAAATCAATCAAAATAAAATAAAATAAAACAGGTTGGAAGAACTCAGATCCTGATCGACTCGGAAGAACTTAACAGCGCCGAAGACCGAATGAGTTCTTTCCCGAATTGATTACTTACTACAAACTCATGAATTCGAAGATTTATAGATATCCATTCAAGGATTCTATCTCAATTCAAACACACCATGTAGATTCATTCCATTGCCATATTTTTCGAATTCTTCAAGAAAACTGTTTAGCTCATGGATTCTGATGTTCTTGTCTCTGATCGACTCCTTTCAGATCTCCATTTCCCCTTTAAACGGGTCCGGATACCGAGCTGTGTAAATCAAGATCAGATACGGTCTATGCATCATCATCATCAAAGGGACAAGAAGCACAGCGAGATATGCAGTGACTTTACAAAATCAGTCGAGAACATTCATGAACGTATGTAGGATTATGTAGACTCAATAGACTTTCTTTTAGTAGCTTTAGCGCCACTCAAACTCGATTTTCTTCTTCTTCTTGGATTCGGCCGGCCGGCTTTTAAAGCAGAAATGATCAATTCATCAATTCCTTTCTTCAAATTCTTGATGTCTTAAATTCCGTAAAACCTTCCGAAAAAAACCCTTGCCGTTTTCATCTGTACTATTTGCCTTTGGTTCCCTCCGGCCATTTTTATTTCGGACAATATGAACCCTGGTGTACATTCATACATTTTTCTTTCGTTTTGAAATTCATCATTCCGTCTTGATATTTGTTTCTCCATTCCATGGGATTCGGCTAACTTAACTAAGCCCCCTCCTAGTGCCCGGGGGAAAAAAACGCAACAAACCCCGGAGGCACGGAGGGGACTTACATGCAATGTCCGTTTTCTTGGTGACGAGGTAAATTCACTTTTGGTGGTAAAAAAAGGTCCACCAATAATTTTTTTTTGTCTAATTATGAAATTTCTTGTATCTCCAATATGCTGTGTGCCGGCTTCTTGCGCATCTTTCCCTCCGCTCACATTTCTCCTTCTTTGTGAAATGAAAAACTTTTCATTGGGCTCCAAATGAGCTCTTTTCGAAATCCAGAGTCGCGACTGCGGCTGATAGTACACGCTATGTAACATATCCAGATTTGAAACGTGAAAATCACAAAAGGGTCCACAAAAGGGTCCAGGGGTATATCAAATTTTTCGATGCCATTTTTTGAATCTTGACTTGTTGAAGTTCTCCTTCATCCCATCTGCCCATTTTCCTTCCCAAAAACCTTCAAACATCTCTTGTTGTTCTGTGCAAACATGTCCCAACCAAAAATTCGAACTCGCAGTACTGTAGAAAAGAATGACAAGCTCACCGACATTCTTGACATCAGTCTATCAACCCCAGCTTTGAAGATTGAAACACCAATGCTTACTAAGAAGCTGCTGCAATCCAGCACTGTGGAGCAGCAACAAGCAGTCTCTACCCGCTTTGGAGATAAGTACCCTAATCAAGAAGGAACAAAGGTTCAGATCAACACTACGGTCAGCCTGATAAACGGGGACCACACTTTTCTTTTGGCTGGAACGGGCTCCGGAAAGAGCCGAGTTCCTGAGTTATTTTTCCACATGTTTCCCAAGGTCAAGAAACCAGTGGTTTTGGTTTTGAATCCTCTGGATACTCTTGGCAACAATCAGGTCAGTATATACTTTGGTTTTGATATTGTTGAATAAAATAATATCTGACCTGATCTGACTCGGGTCTGATAATGCCAGGTCTTGGAGAAGAGTCGAATTGGGATCAAGTCAATCAATCTCACTAAGACCACGTTTGGTCCAGCAGAGCTAGCAAAATTGAAAGAACATGCATATTCATTCATCTACTTGGTTAGTCATCATTGCATCTAACAGTACAATTGGTCACAAATTGACTTACACATTTTTCTAACAGAGTCCAGAGATTTTCCTGAATAGCGAGGCTTTTCAAACACTATATCACAGCAAAGATTTTCAGTGTCATCTTATCTTAAAAGTGGTTGACGAAGCGCATTGCATTTATCTCTGGGGACTTCAGGCCAGCGGTAAATCAAAACACTTTTCAAAGCATCTTACACTACAAAAAAGTTAATCTTTACCGGGCGGAAAAGAAAACTACTGACATAGAAAAATCCTGAGGCAACAGGAAAAGAGCTAAAAATCTGGAAAAATGTGCACCTTGTTCCTAGACGTTGGGGCGTCATAATGAGTATTTTTTTGTATTTTACACAAAAATATTGGCTAATGTACTAACAATAAAGGCTGAAAATCATCAAAAACCCACCTGTAACAATACCTGAAATTTGGCCCATGATTTTGAAGACAGGATTTTGAAATCTTCAAACATCAATAACTTTTGAAGTTCTGGATCAAATCACTCAATTTCAAGTTCATAAACAAGGTGGGCCTTTCCTATACATTTATTATTGTGATATCACATCTGTAGCTGGTCTGCAAAAGATCCTACAGAGCTATTCATGTAGAATTGTTTGAACAAATGTAGAGTGTTTACATGACAAGATAACACCTTGCTGCCTTTATGAAGTGTAAAGGAGAATGGTTTAGCTTTTGAATGAACCAACAATCAAGTTATTTGGAGCAGAATTGCCAAAGTTATTGAAGTTTTTAGACCACAAAATATTGTTTTCATAATCATGACCCAAATTTCAGCTATTGTTACAGGCAGGTTTTTGATGATTTTCAGCCTTTATTGTTAGTACATTAACCAATATCTGTGCGTAAAATACAAAAAAATACTCATCATGACGCCCCAACGTCTAGGAAAAAGGTGCATATTTTTTCAGATTTTTAGCTCTTTTCCTGTTGCCTCAGGATTTTTCTATGTCAGTAGTTTTCTTTTCCGCCCGGTAAAGATTACATTTTCTGTAGTGTTACACCCAAAGACGTTGGCCTATTTCGCTCATCTTATGGGAACCCGGCCAGCAGCTCATGGCGACCGACGGGGTCCCTGTTCTCCTTATGTCTGCAACTTGTCGACCGTGTGCAATTGAGCAAATACAGTCCAGCCTGAATATCTTGCCGAAAAATATGACCGTGATCCAGGGCGAACTCACTCGACCCGAGATCCGTTTCATTCGGATGTATCTCACTCGACCATTAAATACGGCCGAGGATCTTGAATGTCTATTTTCTCCAGCATCCGTTGTATCTGATGAAGACACTCCACCCATGTTAATTTATTCTGGCACTCAAAACGCTACTGGAACCGTGATTGATGTTGTGTGTAAAGCTCGTGGAGTGCTCAATGGGGCTTGTAATGGCAATAGTACATTTATCCGACGTTATCACTCAGTAACAGGTGATAAAGACAAACTTACGCGTGTGGACGATTACGGCGAAGGGAAGTTTCCAATCTTGTCATGTACTTCAGCACTCGGTATGGGTCAAAATTGGACCCGAGTCAGGGTTGTGATTATCATGGGCGCAATGGACCCAGCTGAATCGAATCAAATGGGCGGACAAGCTGGGCGTGGGTGTCGTAATGGCCTAGTTATTCAATTTGTTCAGCCGACTATGACCCCAGGAAAGAACTCAGCAGAAGAGTTCAAAGTGGGACCCAAAATGGTAGATGAAGATCGAATGCACGCTCTTCGAGTCACATCGTGTTGTCTTTGAGTAGCTTATTCAGTTGATAGCTTGTGAGTGAACAATGATTTGATACCGATTGATGATACTTGATTTCTGATATTCTTCCTCGCTTCATACTGAGGTAAAAGGAAAGGCTACATACCAGTCTCGCTTTTGGATCCAGAATATCTCGGCGAGCTGGAACGCGAGCGATCTGAAGAGATGGCTCCTTGTAGATGTTCCACATGCGATCCTCAAGGATGCGCTAGGATTATACGCTTGCTTCGGTCTACACATACCAAAGACTTTGATACTCTCATGAACACTTCACCTACACACACCGAAGATGAGAGTTGGTTCAAAATGCAAAAAAAGACCTCTAAGCGTAAGTTCTCGGCCGACATCCCGCTGGTATGCAAGGAAGACGACCCAATACGTCTCAGTGTTCCCAAGATCGACCTCACTGTGATGCTTATGGGAAACTTCCAGTTTCTTTTTCGAAAAACTTATCCCACTGGATCTCATATGACACCTGAATCCCTGTTTGATCGTGAAGATGCATGGCAAATTGTTAAGAACTACGAAGCTATCCACAATGGGGTCTTTTTACGTGAGATTCTAGGAGGTGAGACACTCCCGGCTCAGTTTGAAATGGTCCACAAATGTATAGACATGTGGATGAAATCTCCGGTGTATCTCAAGCATAAAGAAGAGCTGGAGGAAGAAATCATACGATATGAACAAGAGATTCTCGATATGGAACTTATTGAAGAGGAGCACAGAGAGCAAAAGCAACTCAAACAAGTAGCACAAGAAGAAAAGAAGGCAGTGATTGCCGAACGCAAGCGTATACAACATGAAAAGGAACTTGAGAAACAGCGAGATAAGGAAATAAAGATGAAACAGCGACAACAGGACCTTGAAAGCACGGTCAGTCTCGCATGGTCGATCTATTCATCTTCATTATGCTGATCTTTGTCTGATTCAACACATTCATCCGCATCTGTGTTCCTTTCTTTCATAGATCCCCAAATGAATCGAGAGGGTATTTTTTTCCTT